CAAAAAGGAAGAAGAGAAAAAACAAAAAGAGATGGAGGAATACTTAAAAGATGATGAAGCCAGAATTGCGAAATTGAAACAAATCTGGAAAACCAATACACCAAAGAACTTTAAAAGACTTAAACCCCATAATTTTTCATATCAAAATATATGACAAATATGATACGAACATAGGCATGTTAGAGATGGATGATTTAGATTTATGATATTTTTTATGGCATTGTATTATGATAACATATTATGATGAAATTTATGATGACATATTATGATGAAATATTATGAAATTTTATGATTTGAATTTATGTGATGATGGATGATGATGAAATGATGTGGGATGATGATGTATGAAATGATGTGGTTTTATTTTGTGTTGATACTGTGATGAAATGATATGAAATGTTGTGAAAATGAAATGTGGTAAATGATGACATGATGGAGGTGGATGGTATGAACTTAGGTGTGTTTGTGTCTAGCTATATGTATAATATAATATTATATAATATATATATATAATCTCTTTAATAGCATACATATATGAAAACATTGGGACTATAACCAAATGTCCCATTCCTTTCACCATGATGATCCGCAGAGACCCACAGAGCGAACCCCTTTAACACAAATAGCTAATGACTTCTTTCTCACAACCCTTTAACACAGATGTTTGCATAAAATTCCATTCAATCCATAAGAATATATGCCCCAGTGCCTACAAGATAAAGGAAGAAACCCTAAATTAGCATAAAACCTCACTTGAAAAACTACCCAGACCTAAGGAAAATTAGGTCTGGGTAATACTGCTTACACTCCATTGGCTAAGCTGCACTAGCTATTCACCCACTGAGACATTCTGCCACAGTGGCTTGGTGCAGCCACTCAGCCACTCAGCCACGCAGACGCTCTGGTAAGAGTGGCTGGTCCAGCCGCTCTGCCAGAGTGGCTGGTCCAGCCGCTCTGCCAGAGTGGCTGAGTGGCTGAGTGGCTGCTTCGATTTCGCAAGCCGTGTTGCACATCCACTCTTATATTTGCTTGCAAAGATCAAAATTAAAATGGCTGTCTACTTTCTTTTGGACATACTTTTCAATGTTCGTTGGAATAATTCTCTTAAGACATGATCCAAAAGCAGCAGTGCCATTACAAAGCATAGAGTGGACTAAGGCATTTAGCCCCGCAGGCAATTCTAAGATGGTAAAGCCAAAAAGGAACCTAACATTTGGGGATGACTTATTATAAACCTAATTATGAAGATTTTGGGTGTTGCCATATTAAATTGTATGCATTTCATTACTTTTCCGTATGTGCCAATATCTGTCCCATTGATACCATTCCGCGCGTGTTTCTCCTTTTTTTCCCCTTTTCTCTACACCCATTGGATTCTCCACCTCTTGGATTTCTCGACACTGTACGCTTTGCCTCACCGCTTCACGACATTTTCTTGCCCTCTCCCCCTCTCCAGCTACAAAGAAAAAACAGGCGGAAAGGGGGTGAGGCTTCCCGAAAATAAAGAAAATCAAAAACATAGATCTTTATTGTCTTTCTTTTCTTTATTTACTTTTCCAGGTGTCCAACAGGATGAAAATTATAGAAACTAAAGATTTATTTTCTTTATTTTCTTTATTTTCTTTTTGGGGCTCCAGAAAAAAAAAGAAAATAAATATGTTGTTTCTTTATTTTCTTTATTTTCTTTTTAAGGCTCCAAGAAAATAAAGAAAATAAAGAAAATAAATCTTTATTTTCTTTATTTTCTTTTTGAGGCCTCAGGAAAATAAAGAAAATAAAGAAACAAAATCTTTATTTTCTATAGATTCCATCCTGCTGGACACCTGGCAAAGTAAATAAAGACAATCAAAAAATAGAGAAAATAAAGAAAATAAAGATTTATTTTCTTTGTTTTCTATATTTTCTTTTTAAGGCCCCAGGAAAATACAGAAAATAAAGAAAATAAATCTTGATTTTCTTTATTTTCTTTATTTTCTTTTTGAGGCTCCAGGAAAATAAAGAAAATAAAGAAACATATCTTTATTTTCTATAGATTCCATCCTGCTGGACACCTGGAAAAGTAAATAAAGAAAATAAAGAAAATAAATCTTTATTTTCTTTATTTTTTTTGAGGCTCCAGGAAAATAAAGAAAATAAAGAAAAATCATTATGTTCTTTATTTTCTTTATTTTCTTTTTGAGGCTTCTGGAAAATAAAGAAAATATATCTTTATGATCTATAGATTCCATCCTGCTGGACACCTGGAAAAGTAAATAAAGAAAATAAAGAAAATAAAGAACATAAATCTTTATTTTCTTTATTTTCTTTATATTCTTTGTTGAGGCTTCAGGAAAATAAATAAAATAAAGAAAATAAATCTTTATTTTCTATAGATTCCATCCTGCTGGACACCTGGAAAAGTAAATAAAGAAAATAAAGAAAATAAATCTTTATTTTCTTTATTTTCTTTTTGAGGCTCCAGGAAAATAAAGAAAATAAAGAAAATAAATCTTTATTTTCTATAGATTCCATTCTGCTGGACACCTGTATTTTCTTTATTTTCTTTATTTTCTTTATTTTCTTTATTTTCTTTGTGAGGCTTTAGGAAAATACAGAAAGTAAAGAAAATAGATCTTTATTTTCTATAGATTCCATCCTGCTGGACACCTGGAAAAGTAAATAAAGAAAATAAAGAAAATAAATCTTTATTTTCTTTATTTTCTTTATTTTCTTTTTGAGGCTCCAGGAAAATAAAGAAAATAAAGAATATAAATCATTATTTTCTATAGGTTCCATCCAGCTGGACACCTGGAAAAGTAAATAAAGAAAATAAAGAAAATAAAGATTTAATTTCTTTATTTTCTTTATTTTCTTTTTGAGGCTTCAGGAAAATAAAGAAAATAAAGAAAATAAATCGTTATTTTCTTTATTTTCTTTCTTTTTGAGGCTTCAGGAAAATAAAGAAAATAAAGAAAATAAATCTTGATTTTCTTTATTTTCTTTATTTACTTTTCCAGGTGTCCAGCAGGATGGAATCTATAGAAAATAAAGATTTATTGTCTTTATTTTCTTTATTTTCCTGGAGAGGCTCCAGGAAAATAAAGAAAATAAAGAAAATAAATCTTTATTTTCTTTATTTTCTTTTTTTCTTTTTGAGGCTTCAGGAAAATAAAGAAAATAAAGATTTATTTTCTTTATTTTCTTTATTTTCTTTATTTACTTTTCCAGGTGTCCAGAAGGATGGAATCTATAGAAAATAAAGATTTATTTTCTTTATTTTCTTTTTAAGGCTCCAGGAAAATAAAGAAAATAAAGAAAATAAATCTTTATTTTCTTTATTTTCTTTTTGAGGCTCCAGGAAAATAAAGAAAATAAAGGAAATAAATCTTTATTTTCTATAGATTCCATCGTGCTGGACACCTGGAAAAGTAAATAAAGAAAATAAAGATTTAATTTCTTTATTTTCTTTTTGAGAAAATAAAGAAAATAAAGTTTTATTTTCTTTATTTTCTTTATTTTCTTTTTGAGGCTCCAGGAAAATAAAGAAAATAAAGAAAATAAATCTTTATTTTCTTTATTTTCTTTATTTTCTTCATTTTCTTTTTGAGGCTTCAGGAAAATAAAGAAAATAAAGAAAGTTTATTTTCTTTATTTTCTTTATTTACTTTTGAGGCTCCAGGAAAATAAAGAAAATAAAGGAAATCAATCTTCATTTTCTATAGATTCCATCGTGCTGGACACCTGGAAAAGTAAATAAAGAAAATAAAGAAAATAAAGATTTATTTTCTTTCTTTTCTTTTTGAGGCTCCAGGAAAATAAAGAAAATAAAGAAAATGAATCTTCATTTTCTTTATTTTCTTTATTTTCTTTTTGAGGCTCCAGGAAAATTAAGAAAATAAAGAAAATAAATCTTTATTTTTTTTCTTTTTTTTTCTTTTTGAGGCTTCAGGAAAATTAAGAAAATAAAGAAAATAAATCTTTATTTTCTTTATTTTCTTTTTGAGGTTTCAGGAAAATAAAGAAAATAAATCTGTATTTTCGTTATTTTCTTTATTTACTTTTGCAGGTGTCCAGAAGGATGGAATCTATAGAAAATAAAGATTTACTTCTTTATTTTCTTTATTTTCTTTTTAAGGCTCCAGGAAAATAAAGAAAATAAAGAAAATAAATCTTTATTTTCTTTATTTTCTTTTTGAGGCTTCAGGAAATTAAAGAAAATAAAGAAAATAAATCTTTATTTTCTTTATTTTCTTTATTTTCTTTTTGAGGCTCCAGGAAAATAAAGAAAATAAAGAAAATAAATCTTTATTTTCTTTATTTTCTTTATTTACTTTTCCAGGTGTCCAGAAGGATGGAATCTATAGAAAATAAAGATTTATTTTCTTTATTTTCTTTATTTTCTTTTTGAGGCTCCAGGAAAATAAAGAAAATAAAGAAAATAAATCTTTATTTTCTTTATTTTCTTTATGTTCTTTTTGAGGCTTCAGGAAAATAAAGAAAATGAAGAAAATAAATCTTTATTTTCTTTATTTTCTTTATTTTCTGTTTGAGGCTTTAGGAAAATAAAGAAAATAAAGAAAATAAATCTTTTTTTCTTTATTTTCTTTATTTTCTTTATTTTCTTTTTGAGGCTCCAGGAAAATAAAGACAATAAAGAAAATAAATCTTTATTTTCTATAGATTCCATCGTGCTGGACACCTGGAAAAGTAAATAAAGAAAATAAAGAAAATAAAGATTTAATTTCTTTATTTTCTTTTTGAGGCTTCAGGAAAATAAAGAAAATAAAGAAAATAAATCTTTATTTTCTTTATTTTCTTGTACTTTAAAATAATGAAGATTAGTAAAGGCGTCAAATAGTACAGAAAGGTCTCTCTAACATAATATCTATGAGTTGGGTTGGTGAATAAGTGTCATTCAGCAAAGCTAAACCCCCACAAATGCAACCATGATCTGGGTAGCCAAGTTTTTCTTTAGCGGTTAAAACTGCGGTTTTTTAGTCCGCCATTTTGGTGGCTTTTAGGCAGCATGAGATGAACGACGATGAGCTGCAGAAGTTGAGACTTGGTGATGTTGCGGCTGTTGCGGGCTGGCCATCCCCAACCTTGGATGGATACTTTACCCTCTGGTAAACTAACATAGCTATTGAAAATGGTGATTTGTAGTGGGTTTTCCCATTGAAAATGGTGATTTTCCATAGCTATGTTAGTTTACCAGAGGGTAATCCTGTTTTTTTGCTATAAATGGAGAAGAATCATAACCAGCAAAAGATCACTGTTTTGTGGGCTATCACAGGCTGACCATGTGGAAAACAAGTTGGTGATTTAACCATCAGAAATGGGGATGCCAAGCATCTTATGAGGAATGGGGAGAGAATACGTGAGTGTGCCCTGAAGATTCTAGATTTGCATCCCCAAAAAGATGCATTTTTTTCATAGGATGTAATCAGGGAACATGGGAACTCATGATTAACTCGGGCAAATTTGGGGTATGTGGACAATCTTAGAAAATCACATAGCATGTGTTTTTTTCCCAAATGTTTTCGGATAGCTTGGATATATTCGTATCGGTATTTGATAAATACACGACGGGACACCACGAGATACCACGAGGCACCTGACCTGACCAGACTTTTAAACAACGACAACCGCTTGGGTTCGTTGCCCCGCTGGGCAGCCAACATGGCCGGAGAGTTTCTTAAAGAACACAAATTTCAACATATTTTTGTTTATAGGAGATACAATGTACATGGGTGAGTTTGTGTGTTTTCGTTTTAGATATGGGTGGCACATGGTGGTACAAACACGTTTGTTCATTTGCCACATCGAGCCGGAGAATTGTTGCGGGACACCTCCTGGCGAAGACCAAAAAAGAACAGAGGGAACCATCCCCAAAATCAGCGTTTTTTTCAGACAGAATGATTCATATCCCATAGAATCCATGGTGCTGCTATATATGGTGTGCCATGGATCCCATCAATATACCCCAGTCATGTTAGCATATATACCAGCACCATGGATCCTATGGGTATTTCAGACAGATTGTAGATGTTTTCCATATGTCGCAAAATGATTTATTGGGACGTATTACATCCCCATCTGGTATTGTTTACTATACAATCTATACATAGAAATACATAGAATGGATTATGTACTAATTCATGAATGCTTGTAGAACAGGTAATCCCTTCCCCCTAATACTACCTCCCCACATAATCAACACCTCAGGTTATGATGCACCGTCCAAGCTAATTCTGTAAAGCGCATTTTTTTTTAAAAAAAAAGCAAAAAAAAACGATTTAGCCATTTTGAAAAAAGCAAACAAAAAAAGCGATTAAAAAAAGGAAGAAAAAAAAGCAAAAAAAAACAAACAAAAAAGCAAAAAAAACAGCAAACAAAAAGGCAATTAAAAAAAAAAACAATTGGAAAAAAACAACAAAAAACACTTGGAGTCGCTTTCGCTGAGAATGTCATCCCACTTTTGGAGCTTGCAGATGAAAGAGTATGCCTCGGATCGTGACAAGGCGCCTGGGCACATGAACTTTGGCTAGGTTTGGGGGAGACTTTGCAGATTTGGCTGCTCCATCCGGGAAGGTGGTGAAGGTGGCTGGAAACTTGGGGGGGCCCCCTCGTCTGGAAGGGGGGTCCTCCCAAATCGCTTTTTTTTCGTTTTTTTTTGTTTTTTTTTTTGTTTTTTTTTCGTTTTTTTTCGCTTTTTTCCTAGGAAAAAGCAAAAAAAAAGCAAACAAAAAGCGATTTTTGATCCCGCCTCCTCCCGGGATCCCCCCAGCCAGGTCCCGGGGTAGGGTCAGGGGGTTGGACCCCCCAGCCCAGGTCCCGGGGTAGGGTCAGCGAGGAGGTTGGACCCCCTTCTGGGAATGTCGGGTCCAGCTGAGTGTGCAGGCCTCTTTCCATCGTCACCTGCGCTTTTTCCATTGGTTCTTGCGTTTCTTGTTACCATTGCCTGCTGGTTTCATTGCTTTCCTGGGTTTTTACTTGTTTATTGTTTTTTTTGCTTTTTCAAATCGCATTTTTTTGTTTTTTTTCCAATCACTTTTTTTTTTCAGGCGTTTTTTTTTGCATGTTTTTTTGCTTTTTCAAATCGTTTTTTTTTTCGCTTTTTTAAAAAAAACAGGTTTACAGGAGTTAGCTTGTATAGCAGACAACATAAACCTCAGGTAGTTTTTATTATTATATAGGTGTATTTATTATTAGGTGGTATTTATTATTAGGGTGCAAAGCTTCCCCCTAATACTAAATTTGGAACCCTAATATAAAAAACATGTTCTTCTATATATTTTTCAAAATCGATTAAGTTTCCTTTTAAAATCTAATCAAAATATTGCCACAAATTGGATTTCGAAGCTTCCCCTTAAAACCAAATTTTAAACCCTAATATTAAAAACTATTTTTTCATTTTTGGTTTCTATTTCAAAATCGATTAGATTTCCTTTTAAAATCTATCTATTGATATCTATAGAATATTGCCAAAAAAATGGATTTCGAAGCTTTCTCCTAATATTAAATTAAAAAATCGTATTTTTTTCGACCTTAAAAGACGGACCCTAATAAAAAAACACCCCGGGGTTGACTAGTTTTTATTATTAGGGGGTGAAACCCTGAAATGGTAGCTTCATTTTTGAATTGTTCTAAAGAGGATCAATTAGAAATCAAATTGGCCAACCTCAAGTTTTCCAAAATTGGAGACAGACCCTAGTTTTTATTATTTGGGAGGGGGGTTAGTAAGGTTAGTAATAGGGGGAAGGGATTATTGTTCATTGGGTTCACGGTGTTTCCTTTCCTTTCTCGTTTCTCTCATTTCAATGGCCATTTCAGGAACCTAAATTGGAGGTACCTACCATAGATAAGGCCTATATAAGGCCTATGTAAGGGAATATCACCACCAAATATAGCCTTATATGGTACAGTACCTTTATTTTAGGATCCTGGAATTCCCATTGATCATTCCGAAACGACCGAAACGGTTCTCGAGGAGAGATTTGGACAAGCGATACCGTCGCCAAATGGCCGAAATGCACGACAGTCACGAAGAGCTGCAGGGTGTGTCTTGGATCAACCTGGCCTGGCTGTCCCAGGTTTGCTAAGTTGGTTTATAACTGGGTGAATTCTATGCTGAATTATGCTGAATCTATGGTTTTTGGATGTTTTTGGGTATGATATAATTATATAATTCTTAGATGAACTTGCTGGTCAAACCCAGGAATCTTACCTGGATCATAAGCCCAATTGCAACTGGACTAACCCTACTGATCCTGCTATGATATAGTAGCCTGTGTGCACTGATCCACTTCCTAGTTGGGGTGAATAAACAAGTAACAACAATGGGGATTGAATGTCGAAAACAAGCAGATTCAACGTCAAAACAAGGATTCCACCGGCAGAAATTGAGAAATCTTTGGGGAAACGTTGCTGAGGGGTAGTTTTCTCGTCATATTCGGTTGATAACCATCAACAGTGGGTTGTATGTCATAACTATAGCTAATGTATATGCTAATATTTATGTGTTTTTTTCCTGCAGGGTATCCAAGATTAGTCGTGAATTCTTCAGAAACATCTGAGAAAAGGAGTTGAAAAATGGGCCATCGAGCTGGATGAGCTGGCGCATTGCCCGGACTTGTCCCATGCAAAGTTCTCAAACTATGGTCAATTCCGATCTCTTGCCAGTCCGAGATGTGTAAATTTGAACAGTTTCTTGGATCTAGGTGTGTTCAACTTCATGTGTTGAAGTCTTTGAAATCAGCAATACCATGCCAATCTGTGGGAATTTGCATTTTTCTAATTTGTTTCTACCCTATCCCCTGAAAGAGAGGCCAAATATGCCACAATCTTGAATCAACAAATCTATGTGTGTCAACATGTTCCAAAGATTGTTTGAATCTCAGGCTGTCACCTTACTTATGCTATGGGAATGTGGCGGGCCCTTTGCAGCCATTTGCAGCCCATGTTGTTGTGTCCCTGTTGCCTAGGAACATCGCTCAGCACATAAAGAGGCCGCACTCTGCATGATCGATGCCCTCGTGCGTGCATGTGTTTTGCAAGACTAACCTTTGGTAAACGTTTACATAGCTATGGAAAATAACCATCTTCAATAGCAAATAGTAATAGCAAATTATTAAATTACCGGAGGGTAAACCTGTCTACCATTTTCTACCTTCAAGGGAACGTCCAATGTTGACAGCCAAGGATATTTCATGTTGACAACAAAACGCACCGTGGCAGGCACAGACAATGTGCAAGAAAAATATCAAGGCCTTTCTCCGACCGGCAACAGATCAAGGTGGAAGAACATGTTCATTATCATATATATAGTGTTAAAAAAAAAACAGTTTGTATATATATATATATACATTGCATTATATAGTTATATTTATATATAAGCATCTTATATGTATTACAGTATATGCATACTATTATGTAATGGGCTCGGCTTGAGGAGCTTGTGTGCAGACCTTGGGTACGCATGAGATTGCATGAGAAGGTGTTTTTTCCCCAGATGTGCATCCCCCTGTTCTAATTGATGTCCCCTTTCAAACCAGACTCCTACTGTCGCGACCATTGGAAGTTGAATCGTTGGATTCCCCAACATCCACAACCTCCAGAACTTGTGCTTTGAATTCAGCTAATTTTCAGAATTGTTTATAGTTTGTTTGCTTTTGGATCTTAAGCACGTGAAAATTTCATTTCAGAACCTCCACAAGACGTTGGGAGCAGCGTTTGATTGCCCAGGTCAAATCACTGCAAAGTATCCACCTTTTCATTCACAGCAAAAGATTGGAGGCAAAAAAACACCAACTTGACGTCGCGAGGGCATGTTATCGTTGTTACCCTCCGGTAATTTGTTACATAGCTATTGAACATGGCTATAGAAATAGTGGATTTTCCCATTAATAGCATGGTGGTTTCCATTGTTTTTTGTTAACGTTTACCAGAGGGTTACCCAACTTTCCATGGTTATTTATAGTGGATTTCCCCACCATTTTCCATAACTTGATGGTTAACCCCCCAACTTTCCAGCACTTGCTGTGCCTCCAGCTGCGAGGTCCTGGCCATGGGCGTTCTGGAAAGCTTGGCCACGCGGACAGGCCGGACAGGTCGAGGCCACGGCCCGGTGGGTTTTTGTCGGGGATCAAGCGGTTTTTCATGGGAAAATTTACTTCGGAAAGCCCCATATTTCATGATAAAAACCCATGGGTTTCCGGTTAAGATTTTCCCCAACAAACCAACCCAATGAGTTTTTTTTTTGTTGACCCTGGGATGACTCTCATATTTCTATATATTTCTGGGACAAAGTGGCGATTTTATGGAATATTGATGAGATTTACTGTGGGTTTCATGGGATTGAATGGGATATCAATAGGATTTGATTTGATGGAACTACTGGGTCAGCTACTATCAATGGAATATGAATGGACTATTGATGGTATATACCATTTGGAAATCATGAATTATTGTTTACAGCTGGGAAAATCATGTACAAATGGTAAGTTGAATGAGTCTTGGATTGGCTGAGTCGATAATGGGAAAACCATGGAAAACCACCATTTGGAGAATCGATGAAGGAAATACAATATTTTTTTGGAAGGGTCCTCAAGCAAATCCCAAACAAGGATGTATAGAACAAACGTGGCTTGCTGGAACCCCCCGAACTAGCCATGGAGATTGTACTGGTGGATTTTCCGCAAGCCAGGTTGATTACCAGAAGGTCGTGCATAAAAATCGGGCCTAGTAACCATCCACAACCCACTATTGGACCGATGGTTTAAAAGCAGTAAGGGTGATGCTTGGCGGATACACATTCAGTCAGCTGCACCCCAAAATTTGATGGGAATTTTGGGGTGACACCGGTGTGCGGTGTCCAATTTCGAACCTGGGTACACCTTTGGTTGCTTGGGATATGGGTATGGATCAATGCCTATTAATACCAGTTTTAGGGGGATGAACATCCATTTACCAGCTATTTTGATGTTCACCAGGGGTACAAGGTTTTGACACACTGCCATATGGCTATGGGTCGAAATTCACAGCAGAAGCCTTCAGGCAATTTTGAGGGCCTGAAAAGTCACTGACACTTACTGGGAGTTTGCTTTCTGTTTTCTTCAGCAATATGTCCTTCATGTTTCGGCAATATCCTCCGGTAATATTTAGAAAATCCACCATGACTGTAGATCATGTCCGAGCAGGAAAGCACCATGGATTTCGATAGCAATTTGATGCAAATTGTAATCGTTGGAGGCTACACCATCCCATGTGCTTCAGCTCATGTCAGGCGACGATTGGCCGCAAGGAGACAGTCCCAGCGCACGGACCTCGAACTTTTCCCACTGGTGGGTTAGTCAATGGAGGGTCCCCCCCATTCAACAACTAAAAGATTAATAGGAACAGTATTGACAATAAATAGATGAATACAGACGTATATTTATATATATATGCACATACATACATATACACACATACTATACCAAACTGGTCCCTCTTTTTTTTCTCCTCAAAGGACAATATTGGTAAATGGAGCTTAGCATATGGGGAGTCATCCCACGCAATTACTGATTTCAGGTTTTTATTTTGTCCAGATAACTCAGATAAACATGCTGTTCATCCAATTGGTCATTGGTCAGAGCTAGCTATTCTAAATATATGAATAACCCATGTATGTATAGAGAGACTGAGATGTAAGGTATATAACGGATTTGGACTATGATAATGGATTAATATTATGGATGATAAGCATTCCATGATACTACCAGACCGCTAATTTGTGTTCAAGTGTAGCACATGGAGATTCGCCATGTGTTTACTGTATAAGTTGTTATGTTTATGTGCATGTTTCTTTTTTCCCCGCTGTTGGCCTGCAACTGAGGGTGACTATAGATGTAGATATTATCCTGCGCTGCTCCTCATCAGCACACTATTCCTACCTGGCAGGTCTGTTTTATGCAGTGGGCTTTCACCCAGAATCCAGAGGCACAGATGGGATATGCTGAGCTTTCGCAGTGGTGCGACGCTTCTCATTCAAATCTTTGACGCTGCAACAGATTTGATCGCAAACATGTTCTTCGCCGACAAACTCCGATAAATGTTCGAAGGACATTTTGCAGGAACCCTGTGCAATTGGAATGTAAGAACGCATGACAATTCCGGCTTAAGATGTCCGAAATCACCCGTCCAGTGTTCCACTTCGCTGCGCATCCCAGTTTTATTGTTGCTTTTAAGTATTACATATTCCAGTTATAGGATATGCCCTGGTCAAACATGGCTGATTGACATGGTATATTTTGAATCAAGTATTATAGATTTGTGACCATTTATGATTGAATTTGACCATCAAGACTTTAAATTTAAATTCATAGATGGTTAATTCATAGATGGTTAGTTACTTCCTATAAAACCTATGGATCATCTATTGATGGCAACATTGACAATCCATTATTGAGCAGGGTTACCATGGATTACCATGTCTTACGGATTATTTGTATTTATTGGTAGTTTATCTATGACGCATTAAAACAACGTCCTTTTTGAACCATGGCAACATGGCACCCCTCCATGCACTGCGAGGCCTGGTGCCCTTTGCCCCCCGCACGCGATTTGAAGCACGCTATGGTACTGTCAGAGCAGCGCCTTGGCGAAAGGGTGCGATGTGTATTTTGTTCCTAAGCATCATGGGATATCATGAGCATTTTTTTTCCAAGTCATTGGTGGGTCAGGTTCTGGAGCAGTTGGATGCCTTGATTTCGGATATTGTACATCTAGCAAGAGGTTCCCAGTGCGCCATGGCTCTTCCACTAGCTGTTGGCTCAGTGAAGCATTATCAGCCACGGATGAAGCATTCAAACCACAGCTTGCAAGGACTTGTTCACGCTCAGTTTGTATTTTTGCTCGACGATATTCAGTCGAACAAACGTGAGTTATGGCAAAACTTACAGAGGAACACTGACGTCCAGGCGACGCGGAAGCAGACACTGGTTCAGATACATGGCGACTTGTCAGTGAAACATATCCCAGCTGCTGAAAGATAGATTGGATATGCTCTAGTAAACATGCCCAAGTTGAGGAAAATCAATGAATCAGCATGGATTATCCATGGATTGACCTCCATTGAATGGCCACAGAACCTCATTGTTCACACCACTTTGCTCTTGGTGACGCTTGGTCAGCCATGGGAAAACAGGGCTTCGATTCCCGGACAGCCTTGGCTAATGTAGCTTGTCATCAGCCAGGGATCTGTTGAATCGGCTGGAAGATATCCAAAGCTTCATCAGGAACATCGAACATGTTCAATGAAAGTGAGGGTTTTTCAAGGCCTTTGGATTTCCACTTATATACATGTTTCTACTGGTATGTACATGAGATATCCATAGATATCCATGTGAAAGTGCCACTGGGAGAGAATTTGCAGCACTTGGAACTTCATCCAGATGACGGTGTCATGTTTCACATAATCTGGCACGAGCCCATGGTATTCCAGATCATGTTGGCATACGGCGTTGTTTGAAAAAAATGGTATACCCCATGGCATAGCCCATATATCACAATATATCATGCGGGTTCAACCAGTCTCCCAAAGGTGAATGAGCCCTGATGAGTGGTTGTTGCTTATTGGCCCTCGTTAGCCCTCAATAAACCCTGATGGTTGGGGAGTCAGCGCAGCGGGCCGCGGAGGCCCTCAACACCAGTGGCAAGGCAAAAGCACCTCCACCGAAGAAGGAGGTGGTGAAGGAAGCCCATGCCCCAAAGAAGCGCCCTTGGCCAAGCTAGCCATGGTGAGTGGCGATTTCATGCGGGTTTAGCCAATGAACATGGGGATGTCATGGCACTGTCATGGGGATTTCAATTGGTATATGATGGGGGATACTACGATTTGGGTGTGGCCACATGGGATATACCCCCCAAAATGACATTTTTTTTCAAGAACATCATCAACAGCCGGATTGGCGGCTGCGCCCTAAGCACTGCCATCAGATTCGCGAAAGAGAGGTCCCAGTCAACCTTGCAAGAATCGGCAAGAATACATCTGAAATTGGATTTTGGGACGCGTTTGTTTGTGGTCTTTTGGAGATCCTGAAGCATTACTATGTGCTGTAATCATTTGGTTTCCTGCTGCACTAGTCAAGGAGTGTGAGACAGAAGATCTCGTAATTCAACAGTTTGCTACGGAAAATCGTTATTTATTGACAGGTATATATATATATATGTAACTATATAACTAGATAAGTCTATACCATCCAAACCATAGCTCAATGAAATTTCCGGAATCCCCTCCAGGTTCCCCCTCGGGTTCCAAGTTCTACCATGGGCCCCCAGACGAGGAAGGTGGAGAAAGCCGTCGTAGCAGACCCCCTGCCGAAGACCAAGAAGGAATTGGAGGAGGATCAACGCAGATATATGGAACAGATTCCTGGCTGCACTTTGATCATGGGATGATGGGGTCGTCTGCGAGGTGAAAGAAATGGCATCGAGAGTCCAGATGCAGGTTACAGTGATGTCCTGGAAATATGTGTTGATGATGGATGTTGGATCGCCCAAGCGAAGACTTGTGGCTACAGGTTTATGATCTGCGCACTTTGGCTTTGAAGCATGAAGTTTTACAAAGCCCATGTATTTGGGTTGGAAATTCGGTGAGTCACGACTTGCCACAGGAAAGAGGCGGAGAAGAAGCAGTTCTATGCGGCTGAAGAGGCCTTGTTTGATGCGACGCCCCTCAAGGTTGACAGATTTTCAGCAATGGGCGTTGGACCCTTGGAACAGGGAAAGAATGGGTGTATTACAATGAGCCCATTGTTGTTTTCACTTTATCCATAATCTTTATACCCTGCGTTTTGATCTTTGGGACATTGCAAAATGAAGCTCGCTTTAAGCTTACAGGAGTAGGAAGCCCGAGTGCTTCACTGTTGGCAGCCGCGGGGGCATCGTGGATAGAGGGGTCAGCGGGTAGGGATCGGCCCCACATGTGTACATCAATGCATTCAAGCTCGGTATCCCGGACAAGACTGTAAACATGAAGGTTGTTTTGAAACGGCAAGAGTGGCAGCTTGCTGCGGTTAAATTGCTGCACACAATGATCCTTTTCATTGACTCCTCTAAATTCTACACTGGCTGCTCGCATTTTTTGCGACTTCAGGCAGAATCTCAGATGAGTGTGATCCAAAATCATGTACCACCATGTGCCACCCCAAGAAACTGGCTTGCTTGAAATCACACACAGACACAGAAATTGGAGGAGCATTGGGCCCACAGTCTTTTCAGCCGTACAGACCTTGGCCCCTGACCTGGTCCTGGTCCTGAGAGGCCAGAAAACTTGCTGGAGCCAAAGGTGCAGATGAAGAAGCAGAGCTGATATAAGTTCTGCCGGTGGTTTTCTGACCATTTGGTGTCAAGGAGGGAAGGAGTTCGGAGCCGGGAATATGCATATTTTATACTCTCCAAATCTCTCCAATTAAATGGGGAGGAGCTACGAATAGAGCTTCTCAGCCATATGATGGATGAAATTAGATTATATTAGATGAACAGTTTTGAACAACAACCAGGCTGTACAAAATTATATAACGTCCTTGGATTTGGAGGGGTTGCTTTCTTGGAAGGGGAGCAACTGTTCAGACTGGGATACCATTAAAGTTGGGACGTGCGGCACAAGAATAACTTTAATAGATTTCAAAAGCAGGGATACACACTTCAATAGCCAACAAATGCAGAGAAAGCCTTAGTGTGTGGCTCTTTTGAATGTGGGAAATTCAGCACGTTGAGCGTCTTCTTTTTCAAAATTGTGCACATGGCTTTGACTGATGACCAACGTGCCAGACATAGACCTATGCCAAGTATACAAAGTTGATCAAAGTTATACATATACTGTAGAGCTAATTTACGTAGAGATATGCACTTGGATCGCCTTCAGGAATGGCCCCTACTTCCAATGCAGGCCCCATATCCCGAATGACCCCTGAGACAAATCCTTAAGTTTTGTGTAGTTATGACTCGTATCTCATGGTGTTGCTTGTTGGATCAGCATTCCTATAGCAGAAATTGGTTCAGGGGAAAATGCACTTCGGAAATGCCTAACATGTTGGGGTGAAAACGATGTTCTCTCGTAGTTGTTTCCTGAAAAATCTATCCATCGATGGGGCTGATATCCTCATTTCAGTGTGTGATCAAGTATTGATTAAGTAATGTTAAGTCCACCGTTTTTTTATGGTTACATCCACCAATTTTTATGGTGGATCATGTAACTCCTTGTCTATCATAGGGTCTCCATGGGTCTCCCATTGTCTCTGTTGAGGAAGTGACCTACGTGGAAGACAAAGACACCCGGAAGCCCAAAGCGGTGCGCGAAAGCGGAATCATTGCTCACTGAGGTTTTTCATGTTCATGAATTGGGTCAACCTTCAGGTACTTTAGTACCTTAATCATTTGCTGTCAATGGTGAAATGTACTAACCAGCTATGTTTTTTTGGCATGGTTCGAAGATTCACCATAAATATGGATTTGTTTGAAAATAGGGTACCTCAAAATCCCCTGATTTATCATCAATTGTTCAATTATAGTATGTTATGTTGGGGTATGTTCCATTTTCACACACCCATATTCACCACCCCAAAAAGATGAAAAAACAAACACATATTTTCCATGTTTTGAACACGGGAACCCGCGATATATACTCTACTGGATAGGTAGTTTAGTTCTGGATGATATTTTGCAATACATGTATGTATGTCATATTGATTAGCAAACATTGTTGGGGGGGCACGATATCTAAGATTGGGAATGTAGACGTTGGTGTGGAAACCCAATATGGGGCGTCAGCGGTGCTAGATAAGTCTGTTATCCAAAACGTTATTCGAACCACACCTAAAAATCTGAAGAAGAAAAAGACGCAAACAGAACATGTTACAATAATTCAATAGGAGAATCATCTATAACCACAGCCCGTAAGGTTTAATTGCTCACAGCCACTTCCCAGGTGGAAACTCTCCCAGTAACTCAGAAGTGACCTGCTCGTTGCGCGAAGGTGAGCGACATCTCGGACTACTGGAAGAAGGATTTAGGCCTCCTTCCTTTCATGCCCACTGACAATGTCCAGGAGAGCGATCCGCCGCGTCTTTTCGCAGGCTTCAACGGTTGTGCCCAGTGCCCAGCTGCCCTCCAGGAGCTGGAGGTGCCGGAGGACCTGGATGTGTCCCTGAGGTTGCTATATCTTCAGCCACTCGGCTTCAGCATGGATGGTGCGGGAACAGGCGTTCCCCACATGCTTTCTCTACACAGTGCGCATCACTCTACATGACTCAATGCATTTCTGGGTGAAATTGTGCTCGATTTGGGTTTTACATGGTGTTACTCCGTTTTAGATGGTGTTTTATATGGTAAAAACATGTAAAAACCGTATCTGCGACCAGGAAAATCACAGAACACATCTTTTGAAGCAAATCTTTCCCAGCCAAAATTGCGAGTGGCCACGGAAATTAGGACATTGAACGACCAGCTGGAGAAGCTCTTGCGGATGCGTCCCTGGGGATGTGTTGGGGATGGATGGTCCGGCTTTAACATACACCCAGACCTCCGCTAGTTGTTGGGTAAATGTTGGCGGGGATTTTTTGGTTGTTGGGTAAATGTTGGGTAAATGTTGGGTAAATGTTGGGTAAATGTTGGGTAAATGTCGGCATTTAGTGTTGAGTTCTTATGATATGGAACTTGGATGAACTTAGACAGATCAGGGTGATCTGTGGTGTAATGTCCCATCATGCACGGAGTGGGAAACAACTTGCCCTCAGCAATCTTACCTGGCAGAAACTTCTCATTTCTATCCGATCATTCCTGCTCTTACCACGATTTAAATAGTGTTAAAGATGGTGATTCTAGCAATACCATTTTCTATGTTTGATTACTGCATAAGTGTTGGAATCGAATGAGCCATAATGAGCCTTTGGGGTTGTTCTCCATGGGTTGATCTTGCCCTGGGGCTGAGGTTTCCATGTCTTTTGGAGCCAGTGCATTTTTGATCCAGCTGTAAGTCGGCTCGTGGATTCCTATCTTAGGCGGGAAGCCTGCAGAAACGTCAGGGGTAAAAAATGGTTTGGATGGATGGATGGGAATTCAGAAGCTCGGGAAAAAATGTCGGAACTTGTGGATGACTAAGAAACAGAACTTTCAAACTTACCATTATATAAGAGATTGAGCTATGTCCTCCAAACCTAGCCAGTGCTTATTGGTGGGGACAGTCCTCACATGTCCTCACCACCACCTGTTAGAAACTGGAGTGAAGGCACTTTTGCGGCCAGGGTGGTGAAGATCTTTGGGACTCCCCCCGCTGCCCCAAGATATCTCTCAAAAGACTGGATGGACCAAAAACAACGAATTCTGTGGGCAAAATTGGATAAAATTGGCACCATTTGGCACCTCCGTCCCTGTGAGGTTTTGCCTCCGTAGTCATGATCTTCCAGAGGGTCAGGCAGATGCAGTGTCCATGGAGGAATTGATCCCCGACCATGGTGAACCATTGGAGATGAGGGTCCAAAAAACCATTGGAGATGAGGAATTTTGATGGTTCACCCATAGTATATATCCCAAAGTATATATATGCCAAAGTATATATATATATAAATTTATATAGATTTATATATACATATCCCATAGTACATTCCCAGTATATATCCCCTATTAAGTCCCATTAACCCCCAATTATGAGATAAACAGCTGCTAGCTTGCAAATAAGTTATGCGAAACTTGAGTGTTGTCAAGATAGCATGCTTTGACCTTTGACTCAGATAATCTCAGAGGATATTTCTGGAGATTTCTGGATAGGTTTTGTCGATCTGTTGGCGCTCACGATTTGGATTCCAGAGCGGCAGTGAGGACGTCATCCGCAACTGCTACTTCTCAAAGTGTTGTTTGTATGAGAACTGGTGCCAGTTCAAGTCCTTTGAAAACTTGTTGGTGCTTTCATTTTTTAACGATATGTTCATCCATTGAAATGGGATGATGAACAGAACATGCCTAATTATAACATATTATAACATGTTTCAGATGGGCTGAACCATGTGTGTCCATGTGTCATAGTACACTTTTTGGTGATTTGGGATGATTTGGGTATGGGGCTCTAGCAACCTTTAGGAAGGGATGTTCTGGGCCCTAGACATGCCCAACAAGTTTCCTAGGCAGTCGCCCCAGGCTGTCGCCCACTGAGGACCGCGTCGAAGGAGGTGAGCAGGCGGATGTTTCAACTCTTGGTGAGGCTCAGTCGGCCTCAGGAGAGTCCACATGAGTTCCTGTCCAATGACAAGTGACTCGGCTGATAGGATATAGATATGCTGAGAGGTAAAGCTGGGATGGTTGCTGGCAACGCGACATCACCATGGTTTTTCATGGGTAGATCACATCATGTGCAAGGAAGGAATGTGACTTTCCGGCGACCAGCAGTCTCTTTGGATGATACCGAGGTTTGCTCAAGTGATCCATGAACATCAGCTCTTTGACGTGCCAAAGATCATCGACGTTTGCGTGATTTATGGCGATGCGAATAGGACTCGCCTGTGATTTATGGCGAGTCCAACCAGTTTTTCCAGCTGCCAATGACCTCCCCATAAGCTCCATGTCTCATGGATCAATCCACTGTTTCGGCCATTTTCCATCGTTTTTTGTATGTTTACCAGAGGCTACCCCTTGGCAGGAACGCAGTGACGAAGATCGTCCACTCGATTTTCAGGCACCAGCCTCTCTTCAAGGCCGGGAACAGCTGAGTGGCAAAGGTCACTGGATGTTGGATGATGGTTGCCATTTCTTGCCCAAAACTGATGAAAAATGCCCAGTTTGATGATGTTTGATGATGTTTGATGTTGCCTCCTGAAATTCCAATTTTATATCTTTGGGGATCCTTGAAATCTTATGTATTCTTATGGTGGTTTCATTCTCTCCGCGTGTTAGTTTCTTGTTTCCTTGACCTGCCGCAACTTCCAATGATAATTTTGCCTGGAGCATCTGGCTGGCGACACTTCAGCGATGTGTGAAGACATGTTTTTTTTTTTCAGTTCTAAGTCTGGAATTATTATAGAAGCAACCCACCAGATATATATAAACATATAAATACACACACACACATATATATATATATATTATACATGTGTGTGTGAACCTGATGGATCCTGATGGGTGATTTTTTCAGTTTTTTTTTTTTCAGGATACCTTGAAAGGGATCCACCTTTGGACCTGGAATGACCTGCCCAGGAAGAGTTCAACTCAGTGGTGCAGCATATGTTGCCAGCAGCACTTAAGGGATCTCGTTGTGGGATCTCGTTGTGGGTGTTTCCATTGGTTCCCTGTGAGAAAAGGCGGGCTATGTTGAGATTTTGTTTTCTTTATGTTTCTTCTATGCTTTTGATTTCAGGTGGACTTGTCACTTTCAATTTTGCCAAGGCTTGTTTCGAGTATCATTGGGGTAATGTTTGGTAGCAATGGACTTCCGTACTTCGTGGGCGTTGCCAGATTTGATTTCTCAACCCTCCAGTTCAGCATCGCCATATTCTGCTGAGAGTCCGGCTCACATTGCCCTACATTCATATGGAGATTTCCTGAAATGGGGGTACCCCTAAATCATCAATCTTCATAGGATTTTCCATTATAAACCATCCATTTGGATTTGGGGGTACCACCATTCTAGGAAACCTCCATATGTTCCAAAAGGATCCAAAAGGAATGTCGTTTTTTGCTCGTCAATCTCCCTGTTTTTTGGGGTTGGTTTGTCGCAAAACGGGGGTGCGCCCATATTTTTCTGTAAATGTCTGAGCCATTTGTTTTTTTCTGGGTCCTATTGTGCGACACTTGCAACTACATAGTAAGTAACTAGATGATCTCTTATAGCAACCCCATATAACCCCGAAGGATCAAACAGATTTATCACTATTAGAGTCGATGTTACTTTTCTGTCTTATTGGGAGTTTTGTTTCCTTTAATATATAGATGGGATAGTTGGATATATCCCAGGTATAGTTCGCTGGCTCCGGTGAAGGCTAGATGGACTCCTCCAATGCTGTGCCCCTCTGCAAATGGCAGCGCGGGGTGGCAAGCTGAAGCTAGACGAGCTAAGCGTGTCCCTTGGGACGGGTGCTAAGGAACAGGATCTGGCTGTTGGGAATGGTAGAAAGGTAAGATTCTACTAAGATAGTGATAAATTTATGATAAATTACTGTTCTACTTTTTTTTTGGGCCTGCTCCTCTCTCTCTCTCTCTATCTCGCTTTCTTTCTTTACATGTATATATTTATACATATGTACAGTAAATATAAATATTCTCTACATATATATATATATATACACATGTAGATATAGAGACAAACATAGGGAAAAAAAATCATGTTTTTTTCCAAGCAAACTTGGACCAACTGGAATTGGCAGCCCACCAGCAAACACAGATTATCAGATTGAGGACACATGGGGATGAGGCCGACTAGGGATCCCCAAAGATGTATATGTCGCTATATTCAAGCAAATTCAATGCCACCACCGGTACATCATAATATATCATAGTATATATATATATATAAGAATATATGATTATATATGTACTAGATGGCCTTTCTATTTTCTGTTGGCTCTTTCTGCAGGCGTCGTAGTTGGTCAAGGAACCTGTGTGCAAGTTGCATAACCACATCGAGTACTGACCCAGCCCAGGTCGGAATGCAAAACCTTCCTGCCAGACATGTTGAGTTGCTTCAACGCTGCTGAGACGCAGAATCTGATGATTGAAGTGACTGTTATCACCAATGTTGGATCATCCGGGATTGCAAGGGAAATGCCTTCCATCATATGTATATATTGTATATTATATATTGTACATTATATATTATATATTATACATTATATATTATATATTATACATTATATATTATATATTTTATGTTTTGTATTATATATTATATATTATATTATATATATATGTGTGTGTGCATTTTTTTTTCACTGGGCACTGTACAAGAGAACTCAGAGTTGCTGAGATCTGACATGCCCTGGGGAAAGCTCACATACGTTAACGTAAAGAGGCTCGGAGTTTGCCAATACTTTAAAGACGCTGCACAAACCACCTTTTGCCGATCATTTTATTTGTTGACTTGTGCTTTGGTTCATCAAAATCCATGAAAATCCATGGTGGTTTCATTGACTTGGTTCTGTTGTCCAATGAGTCTAATCCCGAAAATAATGAGGTACACACCCATCATTTGGTTTCCAACCTGGCTGCAGCATTACAGAAACAATGTTCTGAGGCCATTTTTTGTTTCTTCCCAGAGGATTGTGTGGAGAAACTGATGGGTGGCAGCCTGAAGGTAGACAGTTGCTTAGCTGCAGCGGAACCATCATATCTATTGTTGGTGCCTAGTTGTTCCACATCTAATTGTCTGTACATATATATATATATATATATTTGTTATAGACTAGATAATTAATATATACATATGTGTATATGATTCTTGTATTTGCATTTGCTTGCCAGACCTTGGTTGGCGGTACGCATATATGTATTTATATATGCCGCATATTTATGCGTTTTGTTGGACTTGCAGCAAGACTGCCTTTCTGATTAAGCTATCATCAAACGATATGGATTGATTGTATCCGATTCACACTGAATGCAGTGCAGATGTGTATATATATATATGGACATGCAAACGATCCATGTAGACTGCATGATTTTTTGGTTTACCCATTGATATGTGTATTTATATATATATATATATTATATCGCTCCATATTATAAACCAGTTTGTGTGGTTAAATGTGTGTGTACAATAATTCTTGTTGTGCACGTGTATATATATATATATACATATGTATATATATATGTATGTATATATATAGATATATTTATGTGCATGTATGACAATACATTTGTGTGTGTGTGTGTCTGTGTGTACGTATATGTATATCTATATATGTATGCACTTAGTATACTTGTTTATTGATTGGCTGCATGTTTGGAAATATCTCATATTTGTGGGGAATATTGAAGAAATGAGCAGGGAAGGGACTATCTGAAGTTTTAATTCCAGTCGATTTGTGGCATCTCACATGGACCAAGTTTCGCATGGAGCTTTCCTGAAATGGATGGGGAACTACCCCAAGTTCCGCTGGTTTATCCATGGAAAATCCCATGATAATCCTATGAAAATCCTATGAAAATCCTATGATCCAATGGATGACTGGGGGTAGCATCCAATGGAAAACCTCCGGATCCTGTGGACATCATGCCCATCTGCCCATCGATGATTTTCACTCCAGCGACCCCCCGGAAAGATAGAACAGCGATAAAAACATGGAAAATATATGGAAAATATGGAGAAAAACCATGTTTTTTTTGCCGTTGGAAAATATGATCAGATTTCCGTTTCTTCCAGATCTCTGACTTCACTGTGGCTTCACCATGACGTCGGAGGGATAGCAAGGGGACTCTCATGGCCGGAAGTTTCAGTAAAATTCAGTAAATTCATATTGTCCCAGATGTCTACGATCCATATATGGTTTCAGGAATGCAAATCAAATCGGCTTCCTTCACCATCCCAAAAAGGAGGAGCAGTACCATCTATATCTCTATATCTTGTATCTTATCTCAATGGATTGGTTTAAGGGAAAACCTACAGGAAACCATCATTTGTACCACCAAATATAGGGCTTTCCTGTAGATTTTCCCTCAAACCAGTTCAATGATTATCTCCACATCAGGATTTGGTCGGCTCCCAAGGCGCAGCCAGCGAGTTGCCTGCCTTACCCTTGGCGGAAGCTCGGCTGGCAACGGGGCCTGGGACCTGGGTCAAGTTCAAAGGCACAGTGGCACTACAGTCACTACTGGGCCTTGAAAACGTGTCATTCTGTGTGGATTTAAATGGATTTTAATGGAGGTCATCTATATATATATATATAATTATTCAAATGCATGCTTATAACATAATGAATTATAATGAATTATATGGTCGTCGACACTTTCTTTTATTGACATACAGTCATACAGCATTTGTTTTTTATAATTCTGGTGACGGCTCGAATCATTAATTGTGGGATTCGAGAAGTTTGAGTCTTTTCGAGTCGAAAGATCATGTGGACATGTCTCCAAAATTGTGATTTCCCAGCCGTTAGCCTACAATATTCTACAATCTCATCATATCTCATACCCAAAAAGGATCAAATAGCCCCCTCAATCGAAACCCTGGTTGAGTATTGGACCCATTCATTTAGGGTTCCATTCAGGGGAAGTTACTGAGTATATATATATATATATAAATTACCTTAAGTGGGATCTGACTGGTCAGGACCATGGGAACTGGAAATCATGGGTGTTACATTTGTCAAGTCATTTGGTCGAATGCCTGGTCATTTTTGCGATTGAACCATCCTGTATAGATGGGGATTGGTTATTCAATTGGGATTTAAAATGGTTTAACCACAGAATAGAGGGTTATGACAGTTATGACCGTCAAAATAGGATATCTCGTCATAGCTGATGAATGGTTGTAGTGGCCTTTTTCCTGCCTGATCCAGGGATAGTTACCCAGAATAGGGATACCTATCAAGCACCGACATGGGATATGACAATATGATTACCCTCTGGTAATTTAACATAGCTATGGAAAATCACCATTTTTAATGGGTAAATCCACTATAAATGGCCATTTTCAATAGCTATGTTAGTTTACCAGAGGGTATTCTGCGCGGAAGCCATGGCCTGGATCCGAAGTTTCAGATTCTCAGTATATAATAGTATATATATATGAATTAGAGAGAGAGAGATATATATATATATATGTGTGTGTGTGCTGGTTGGTGGTTTGGATTTTTTTATTTTTCCATAGGTTGGGAATAGTACTCCCAACTGACTTTCATATTTTTCAGAGGGGTAGGTATACCACCAACCAGCATGACATATATATATGTGTGTGTCTTTGTTTTCTGCATATGTAGATGGCTGGAAATCCCTGGCCATTTCAATGGGAAGATCACGGAAGCATTTTTTGTGGCATGGTCCCAAGAAAGCCGACAGATGTGATATTTCATCCACCCGGTAAAGCACAGCATGGTAAGCCAACAAAATAGGCCTTGAAATCCATGGCAGTTCTGTTCTGAAAATGATCTATCCACTGTGGCTTCACTGAGGATTTGATGGTGATTCTGCACGATGCCATTTGCGCCCTTCGTGACAAAGATGTGCCCTGTTTGTTATGAAAAACCTGAACCAAAATCTGTTGGTTGGGAGGATCCCGGAGGATCAGGCCCTTTTGCTATATAGAGTGGATAATGGCAGCGGTTGCACTTACAAGGTACTGTATAACCCCACTATGGAGACGTTCGGAACTTAGGAACTTATAAGTTCGAAATAAGTTCGACGCTATGTAAGGGTTTTAGTAGGGCTCAGAAGCTAAGTTCAAGATAAGTTCATTGAAATTTTTGATAACTTGTAAGGAACTTAGGAACTTATGTTGCATGACATCAAAAAAACCTAAAAGGAACTTAGGAACTTATGAAATCATTGTTTTTTTTAACATATGACGTGAAACTTGTTAAAAAATGATATAAAAAACAACATTTGATGTTGTTGCTGATGGTTAAAAAACGATGTTTTTGTAGTTGTTGGCTCAAGTGTGCTAAAATCATCATAGGAGATGGCTCAAAAGTTGAAGAAAAACATAGAGGCTGCTCAAAATTTCTTGGCAGGCTTGCAGACGCTTTCGATTTTTCAGGAGATGCGCCTGAAACAAGTTATGGCTTTGGAGGTTCAAATTTCAAAAGCAGCTCAGCTGTCTACATCAGATGCGGCTAGCCTCTTGAGCATTTTGCATGAGGATCTTTGGGGATGTCAGGCACCGCGCTTGAAAGAAGCTGTGGCGGCGAAGGTAGCAGCGCTGGAACCCAAGACCTCAGAATTTGCCGGGCGTCGTAAGAACCAAGATTACTTACAACTTCCGAACTATCTTACTGCTGATATTTGGGATCAGCTGAGGAGTTCGGAGTTGAATCCGTCGCGGAGGCTTGCTGTAGTTTGCAGGCATGCAGCTGCGCTTGGATTGCGTTGTCCAAGTGAGAAGACTATCGCTATGTTGTTGGCTTTGTCCCATGGGATGTATCAGGAGCCATATGAGGATGAGAAATTGAATTTGGTGAATCAATATCGTGCCAGGATTGGCAAGCATATGGCTTTACCGGCTACGGCAGAGCATTTATTGCAATTGCCTGCAAAACATGAAGAATTGCCTGCTAGTATTGCAGCCATTGCCTTTGCGGGCGGAGGCAGGGTTGATGCACCGCGAAAGTTGCCGGATTTTCGTGCAATGGCGGAGTCATGGCCTGTCAGAACAACGCGTGGCGGGAAAGATTTTGATTCGGGAAGGATGGATGACAAAATTTCGCTGGAGCAAGTTGGATATATGATGAAAGGCGTGGCTCGGGCGCAGAGCGAGCAATTCCAGCGTGAGAACTTTGAGTTCAAGCGATCGCATTCTTTGTTGGCACTGGAAGACTGGAAGGATGACGAGGTTCGTCCGCCAGCTCCAGCGACAAAGGCTCATGTGGGTGAAAGTGAAGGGGTCGACGCCGTAGCGGCCACACTCGCTGAGCTGCGCGATAAGACAAGTTCTATACCAGCAGAAAAGAAAGAAGAACCACAGATGAAACGTCCGGCGGCTGTGTTGCGTCGACCAGCTGCGGCGCAGAAGAAGATCTTCCAGACGGACGCGGAGCCCGCTGGGCCCGCGCCGCTGGGGACTTCCGATGTGGAAAAGGAACTTGAGGCTTTGCAGCTGTGTAAGACAAAGCGACAGAAAAATGGCAGTGTTTCTTCCAAGAAAGGAGACCATTCCATGTCTAAGGGACAGGAAGATGAGGAGCCTTCTTTGCTGTCCAATGGACGGAAGGAGGTCAAGGGAAAGCCTCTGGCCACTGTGTTGACTCCTACGTCTACGCGACGGGGATCACACGTGGCAGAGGGAAAGCCTAAGAAGAGGCCGGCGTCTAAGCAGCGGCCATCCTGCGCTTCGGTGATGGATTCCTCGCCCATGGGGCGGGAGCCACACAGCGCCGGTGCTGCGAGTCAATCTTCGGCGTCTTCTGAGCTGCAAAGGCAGGAGCCAAGATCAGCAGAGGCGCGCAAGAAGTCAGGACATGGAAAGACAATGAAACGTCCCGCTGCCAAGAAAGCAGCTCGAAGGCCTATGGGAACAGTGGCGGAGCGAGAAGCTAGACGCCGAGCGGTGCTGGCTATCGTGCCACGCGAGCTGCGCGAGCAGTTTCGTGATGGATGCGCTACTTGCCGAGGACGTACATATTGCACTGTGAGCTGCTGGGCGAAGCGCGGCTTTATCGCATGAGGCCTGCAACATGCTGCGTTCTGAGTTGGATTTTTTCTGTTGGTTGAAAAAAAACTTGCTGCGTGCAGTTCCGATGTGTTCATTTCTCATTTCCTAATACGAAAAAAATGTGAAAATCGATCTGTGACATGATATAACATTATACAAATATATATATATATATATATGGATAGATTGATATACACACACACAGAATGAAAATGTATGAACGTTGATGCCATGTTCCGCCTTTTCCACATTTGGTGATTGACACGGATATGTATAATATATATATATATACACATGTATGTATATATTATACACGTAAATATCTAAATATTATACACGCACACACACATATATCATATATAGAAATGAATAAATATGCGCAGCTCCGTTGGCTCCAGCGCGCATGTGCACCGCAGCTGAACCGGAAGCAATGCCGAACGGTCGCCCCTCGAAGGAGAGTGGAGGCAGCACCTCGGAAGAGTCAGTCTCGATTGATTCGTCTGATGGCTCTTCGGAGGAGGAGGAAACACGCACGCATGCTCCAGAGCCCAAGCATGGTCCGCCAGCTGAGCCACTTGGCAGCCCTCCGCGTGTGGACCAAGACCGTGGTAGGGATCAGCTTCGCCATGGCAAGGGGCGTGGAAAGGATCGCTCGAAAGGCCCGCGTACCGACAGATGTCAGTATTGTTGGAAGCGGGTCAAAGGAGGCGAGCATGCCATGGCTCAACACTGTTGGTGGAACGAGTCATGCCTGACGTGGCAGTTTTTCACCGTGCGGGCCATAGTTGGAGCGATGCGAAGCGTGAGGCTGCATCCACCAAGCGGCTGCGCATGGAGGATCGGTCAAGCTCAGAAGGCCGATATGATGAGCCACCTCCACGCGGTGGCCGCACACGGGGAAGGAAAGCGGTGGACAAGAGCTGGGTTCTGCCTGATGCGCATCCCAAGAGCAAGAAGGAATCGAGCCGGCGCAAGGATTCCAAGAAAGAGAAGAGCAAGAAGAAGAAAAAGGGACGCAAGCATGGCAGCTCAGCTAGCCCGGACCATGTGCGTGGGAAACATCGCCGTCATCCCAGCACTGATTCCAGCAGCGGAGGCAAGCGGAAGGATCGTGACAGGAAGGCAAAGCGTGAGACTCCCAGGACACTGGTGATCCGCTTGCCGGGCTCATAGACCGGAAAGGTCATGCAGCCTTCTGAGTGAGACGTAGCTGCTATCTTGCCGCGCTGCGTGGCCAGTTTGGTGGCTATATACCCACATTGTTTTCTCGAGCAAAGCCTCACGGCGTAGTTGGCAAACAAGGCGCCTTTTCTTTCTTGTTCATATTACAATGATAAAAGCAAACGCTGGTCCACATCTGAAAGAAGAGTTGCCTTGGGTACAGTGTATTGGCAAGGCCTGCGCCAATCAAAGTTTTAGTTTTTAACGTTTGAAGTGTATAAAAACAATGATGATAAGATTGCTCTTTTGGTGCAGGCATATTCTCTTGCCTTGCGACATTGCCAGGACCGCGTGGGCAGCCGTGCCAAAAGAAGCTTGGGAAGGGGAGCCTGTTTACATGTATACCAATTATAAGCATCTGGATGTATATACTGATATAGAAGAAAGAAGTGGTTGTACTGAGCCTCATAAACCCTAAAAATGCTTTTGTGTCCGCAGCCGTTTTGGGGGTTCAACTACAGCAAAATGGAGCAGGCGCGACTTGGCCACGATGATTTTGGCATATCTCCGGAGGGATTGCAGGCTGTTGCGGAAGCAATGGCAAATGTCTCTGCTGATAGCGAGGAGCATCACAGTGACATTTGGAATGGTGTGACAGCAATGCTACACCACACCGCGGCGTTTGTGGATGTAGCCGGTACGGAAGAAGATGCCGTGGCTGTGTATCGCTTCCGTGCACTGCTGAAGGCCGCGTCAACTGTCAATGACGAGCGCGCGCCAAAGCGGCTGCAGCATCCAAAGTATGCAGACCAGCTTCTAATTCAATGCTGGGTTCCGGCTTTTGGAGATTCCTGGCAGCGTAGTCTCCGGTGGGCGCACGGATTGGCCACAGAGTTGCGCTATGCTCGCAAGTATTTGGGAGTACTGCTCTGGCTCTTGTCCCGGGCGCCGGGCAGGACTAGGGAGATCACTTGGGCCAAACTCAGCTACAACTGGCTACTTCAGGCAGAAACGGCCATGTTGCAAAAGCTACAAAATGGCTTGACCGCGTCTTGACCGCGTTTGACCGCGTTTGACCGCGGCTCCAGTGGGCTGACCGCGTTGACCGCGTGCCCGCGGCAGAAAACATAGCTGAGCGCTATGAGTGGCCATGACCGCGTGACCGCGGTGTGCCTTTATAGCCTCATGACCGTGTGACCGCGTGACCGCGGGGTCCTAGCTTGATTAGAAAACGGCAAAGGCTCCTGACCGCGGACACACTTCCCCGCGACCAAAAAGTTGACTTTTGCTAAAGGGCCTTGACCGCGGAAGCCACCTCGAAAGTCATGTTTTTTGCATATATCTCATGTTGCGTTCCTCTTTTTTCCATAAATTATGCACGCATTCCTTCTGCAGCCCTTTTCTGTTCAAGCGGTTCCAACAAATCCGTTCACTTGTCACAGGCATGGCGGCCTCGGACTCGCAGGTAACTCAGCCGGATATGCCAGAACAGATGAAGTGCTGGTTGTGTCAACAGTCCTTTGACGCAGGGCAAGGACGACTGCACGGCAAGAAGTTCCTGTGCGGCCTGTGCTCGAATGCGCACCGCACGATGAGACGCAACCTGGGTGGCTATCCGGAAGAGATGCAAACCTTTACTTCAGAAGAAATCTCAGATTTTTTCCGGACTTTGCACTCTAAGAAGCCAGCCGGTGGCGGCCTCAACTGGCAGACCATGAAGGCGGTGATGTGCACCAACATCGCCACCCGACAGATCGAACAGGCGAAAGACAAGGTGAAAGGTGAATGGCTGCCAGCGTCAGTGTGGGAAACGCGCGGGTGGGCGAAGGACACCATTGAGCGCCAGGATAACAAATGGAGTGACGAATACAACACACAAGTCTACAAGATTCGTATCACTTCTGAGACCCGGGCGCAAATCCATGAGAGAATCACTGAGTCCCTGCTACGGCAGGAACGCGACGCGACGAAGAAGCGTGGCAAGGAGGCAGAGGATCTGGACGTGCCCATGGCGTCGGTCCCAAAAGACGATAAGGACAAGAAGGGGCAGGCCGCTGCTGCGAAGAAGCAAGAGCGTGAGAATGAGAAGATCCACGCGCTTGCTGCCAGGGCAGTTGGCGCCTGGACCAAGATCTTGGGACAATGTGAGAAGATGGCTGATAAAGTGCACAGTACCGCAGCAATGCCGGCAGAGACCATGCAGACGTACGATGAACTCACCGCCAAGCTGCAGAAGAATATGACTGCTGCCCGCCAAGCCATCAATGGCTTTGAACAGAATAAAGGCAAGCCGGTGGAGGATATGGCAGCCTTGGCCGAGCTGCCATTCCAAGCTGCTGACGTCAAGATTGTGACGCAGCAGTCCGGTGTGATCTTGAAAGAGGTTCGCAAGGCATTTCCGAAGGCTGCCCCTAAGCGCAAAGCGCAGGAAGTGCCGGCCAACCAGGAGGCGCAGCCCAAGCGCCGGCGTGCGAAGACGAACCCGTAGATGTCGTGTGGTCATGATTGACCGTGGGTTTCCGCACAGTGTGAAAGCATTGTGCGAATAATTATTGGTGTCTAGCGGTTGTCGTGTCTCTCCGCGCTCACCGCTATACAGGGGAACTTACGCCGACCAAATGATGGCTCGAGAAAAAAAATCATTGCGTTTCATGAAAACCCATGTGTATATTAACAAAGTAAATGCATATTTCTCCATATATATATATATAAATATACTCTATATGTAATTGCGTAAACACGCACACAATGCTTGTGTCTTTCTGCAAGTTTTTTGGTTCAAGGCAGGCACGCTGCTTAAATCGAATATGGGCCGCAACAGCAACAGGGCATTGTTTTGGGCACGCCAGGCACACAACCCTGGATTAGTGCGAATCAAAATTGGCAAAAAAAAATATAGGAGTCTTTCACGCATTGCCGTGTAGTCTCCTGAAAGCTTCCAAGAATGTCGACAAAGAAATGAGCATCCCCACTCCGATGCTGATCCGAGAAGATGACAGGAAACCGCCTTTGTCTCATACATTGACCTTAGCGATGCAGAAACGCATCCCTGAAAAAATTGAAGAGCAGAGCATGGACGTGAAAATGCCAGCTCGTAATTAATTTTATTACAAAGTTTTTTGTGCATATGCGTTTCAAATGAAAGACCATGCAACGAGCGGTGTGAGAAAAGAAAAAACGTTTCGTTTATTCAACAAAACATCCCTATATATGTATAATTTCATATTCGTTCAAGAAATGTAGCATTTGGCTCGAACATGAAAAGAAGACGCATTGATACGCAAGATGCCCCTGCTGCGCAATTCAATGAATTGCAAAATATTCGTGGAATGACCAACAATGCTCGCAGAGAAGTGGTGGCAGCATATACTGCTACAACCACAGGCCGCCAAGGAAGGATGGCTGCGGCCGCCACACAAGTATATAGCAACTCTCTTGAAGCTCTGAGATCCGTGACGTTGCCAGCTGCAGAAGACAATGGGAAAGGCATCCAAATATATTTCTTTTCACTTGCGGACCAACTGGCAGCAAAGGTCGACAGGTGCAAGCTCTTCTGTGAGTCGCTGCGCAGATGCAGAGATGCACTGGCAGACAACAAATTAGAATTAATTTGCTATGTCGACGAATGCACAGCGGGTAACGTGGTGCATCCGGATCCGCAACGCAAAGCCCACTTGCTTTACATTAGTTTTGTGCAGATGCCGCTTCTCAGTCGTGAAACTCAATGGCTGACCATGTCTGTCTTGCGAACAGCAGAGATGCAACGGGTCAAAGGCGGCATCGCCGCTGCACTCCGAGTGATTTTGGAATGTTGGCACGATGAATGTGAGACCGGTATTGCTCTTGATCTTGGAAACGGGCCACGCATGCACTTCATTGCAAAAGTGCTGCTGCTGGCAGACGCAGAAGGCTTACGAGCCCTGTCAGGAACGAAAGGATCATCCGGAACAAAGCCGTGTCTCAAATGCAGTAATGTACTTAGCCATGCTGCAGCTGAGGCCGGCTGTCCGGATAATCATACTTCCTTAGCAGAATCATCTCATGCGGCACTGAAATCGCTGACACAAACCCGCTTAGATGCCATCCTGAGATACATACAGACATTGCGGACAAAAAAAGCGATCGCAGAAGCGGAAACGTTGCTTGTGTGGAATCTAGAATCTACGTTGTCCGGCTGCCTCGCATCTGACAAACTCCGTGCGTGGCTGAACCTGTCCCATTGTCATTTCGATAGTATGCATATTTATTTCACGAATGGAATGATTGGACAAGAACTGGGATATTGGTGGACAGCCATCCAAAAACAAACTAATGTTACGATGCAAGATGTGCAGTCATACGTCAACGCCGGCTGGAACATTTCTACAGCGCGAGGTGGACTCACACTTGCTCAACTTCGTGCGTGCTTCAATGAGAAGCTCCTGAAGAAAGATGCAGACTACAGAGGGGACGCTGATCAAACCATGGCTGCGTTCCCGTTGCTGGTGCAATTCCAAGAAGAAATTTTGCGTGGACAAGTTGATGGCCTTGACAAAGAGTTTGACTCCTTGCTTGCGCTATCCGCGGTGGTGCACAAATTGCAAAAATGCAAAAGGGCAGGAGACTCAGTTGAAGGCCTGCTCCAGCTACAAGAAAAACATTTATGTGCCTTTCAAAAGGCCTATGACAAAACAAAAACAAGACCCAAACAACACTACTCGCTACATTTGGAAGAACAAGCCCGAATGTGGTCAGGGCGTATTTTGGACACATTTACGCCTGAGCGCAAGCACCGCGTTTTCAAAAGCCAAGTAGCCCAGCTACAAACAAACCTCAATACCTTCTCAAAATCCACGCTTCTTCAATTAGGAGAACAAGAACTTCGAAACATTGGTAACCCACAAGATCTCACGAGTACATTAGGACGCTCAAAGCCAATCGACCAATGGCTCGTGGATCATGTTCAAAAAATATTGTGCCAACCCCTTGAGGTCAGCTTACATATGACAAATGAAAAAGGAATGACCTTTACTGCAAAGCAGTTCCTCATTCTATCGCGCATAATGGCGGTGGAAATTCTTTGCTGCGCTCGTGCTGGTGATGACATGTATCTTGTGGTGCATGTCTTGCAACGTGCAACGAAAACCGACCAGCCACGTAACCCAGCTGCAAGCATTTGTTTCAAAACCAATGATAAAATTCGTGTCTTACCAATGAAAACCTTGCAAAGTCAAGATGTTTTCCTGTTCCGCCACCAAAAAGTGGATCAAAACCTACAATTTACGTTCATTGCGTGAAAAAAAAGATATAAAAAACGACAAAAAAACACATTTCATGAAAAGTTGCTCAAAAAAGACCTCTTGAACTTAATTGAACTTAGCATCATCATAACATAGGCTAACATAAGTTCGATATAACTAACTTATAAGTTCCTAAGTTCCAAACGTCTCCATAGCATTTGTTTGGTCACAACCGGAAACTGTACGTATTCGTCCTGGGGTCAGCCTGTTGTTTTCGGAAGCCAAAGAAGATGGTGCTAAGCATGTTGAGCCGGCAACTTTATTTTAGATTTAGACATTTATAATCATGTATATACTGTATACAGGTATTTAGTGTTGCATGCTGCATGCTCAAAACTCCCATCAGCTAAGAGAGGCCTTTGATTTGATTATTGCGCATTTACCTCCCCGCGCAACTTCAATATAGAAAAGTAAACCATCATCAAGAGTGTTACTCTGCTTTGCAGGGCTATGCGGGAGCCATCCGGATGCTCTCAGGACACTGAGGATCGAGCAGAGATGGATGGCATTGTGAAGCTGTTGAGTCGCCTATTGAGTTGTGTCCTAGGCTGGGCACATGTGCAACACCATGGAGGTAATTTATGATCTCAAAGGGGCTATTACAAACTAATACAAACTATAATCTAGCCCTTCCACGCTATGCTTGCCCACTCCTGATATTGCACATACTAGGACCAATTGCACATACTAGGACTTATATCATACTTCACACATTAGGGGCACGAATGCCCTTCATGTTGGTTTTTTTGTCCTGTTCTCTGCCAAATGGGGTCTGACACCAGTCTTTCCAGCGAATGGTCTAGGCTTTCGGGGGGGGAGACTATTGTTCTAGGTGCCAATGCTGTCGGGTTTGTGTGCTACCCCAATCAGAGTTGAAGCCTATTTAAGCTTCCCACCATAAAGACGGCACGCCGGAACGCCATGAAACTCCAGTGAGATGAACATTGGGGAAGCAATTCAACACTAATGCATTGGAGATGGCTGGAGAAATCCTGAATAGCAAGGTGTTTTTGGCATTTTTTTGGCAATATCCCCCCAAAAAAAACATTACGAAAAGTCAAGAAAATCGGAAAGACTCTTTTTAAAGGTCCGTACGTGTCCATAGCCCTTCGAGTGTTCTACCTGTTTGTCTTGCCATATATTACTGTATACTATATACTGGTTGGTGGTTTCGAACATTTTTTATTTTCCAAAAACATTAGGAAAAATAATCCCAACTGACTCAACTGACCAATATTTTTCAGATGGGTTGAAACCACCACCCAGATACCCTCTGGTAATTTAACATAGCTATGGAAAATCACCATTTTTAATGGGTAAATCCACTATAAATGGCCATTTTCAATAGCCATGTTAGTTTACCAGAGGGTATATCTTGGCATCATTTCTATCGGAGCCAGGCTTTCGAATGGCGCCTCGCCATGGTGCGGATGCTTTTGGTGCCTCAGATAGAACAACCGGGTTCAGCCGCGGCGGTTGATGTTTCGTGCTAATAAAACCATGGCAGTGGCAGTGTTTTATAGAACTTCATATCACCATATATAAGCCTTTTTGGACTCCAAATTTTCACGAACTAATTTGTGATTCCTAAAATTTCCTAATTTATGCACCATGTCCGACAAGTCTGTCCATCTCTTCCACTGATTTGGAGAGTTCCCAGCGGCTCCCAAGCGATGTTTCTTCTATAGTAACGCATGATATCCAAAAGCTCCTGTATCATGGAGCATACCCTATTGTCCCTATCTCATGGTATCAATATAAACGAAACTAAGAGATGAGTTTCAAAGTGATATCCAGATAGCTATAGATATCATGAATATTCATTCATTTTCTAATAGCAGGCTATGAATAAGCAAATTTTGCTGGAGATAGGCCCGCGGGCCCTAATGAATTTGACGAATCCAAACCTTTGGGTCGACTAGCTAAGCTCCAGCTGAGGTGATTTAGTGGCCTGGGTGACCGAACATGCTGAGAGGTCAGGGGTACCTGGGTAACAGGTAAAGTGGAAAAGGCATGTCAGAACTGGTGTTTAATATATATATATATATGTTAATATACTTAATTCTTGGAGGGTCTCCAATCATGAATCCTAAGCTCTGTGGGTATGTGAAACGTCTGGATCTTTGATGTACCAAAACATGGCCAGACATTTTTTGGCCACCACCATCTTTTGACCTGGAGATTTGCTTGGGAGATCTCGTGAAAGAGGTGGTTTCCTGGCAAGATCCAGCATGAAATCACCCAAAATCGTGGTTGCAAAAAGAAGGTGCAAAGGGCAAATCATGATATAAAATGATATAAATCATGTAGAATTCCATATTCGCAGATCAGATGATCAGCTTGCAAAGGTCGTTTCATCCCTTGTGATGCCGGACAGAGTCACTCTCCGCGTTGCGCAGGACCCAGTTGATCCAAGATCTTAGCAGGACAAGGGACCATGACAGCCATGGGCCTTTGGTATTTGTGGTCAATTTACCCTCTGGTAAACATACAAAAAGCTATGGAAAATCACCATTTTTCATGGGAAAACTCACTATACATGATTATAAATGGCCATTTTCAATAGCAAACTGTTAAATTACCAGAGGGTACATTCTTTGCTTTTGGAATGATTTGGAGATGTGTTTTTTTTCCTTTTTAAAGACGGGCAAACACACACATAAGTTGTAGGTGCATGTTTTTAGATTGGAAACGCGCACAGCTGCTTGGGCCACAGAGCATACTGCACGTGTTGCCGTGTTGGAAGCTGCACTGAAAGTCTTTCATTCTGATCATCCAATTTCAAGAGCGCCCAGTTTGGAGCCACAATTTCATACGTGCAAGAAGGGAATTGTTACATTGATTTTGATCATGGATGATATTGCCCATAGGATCCATGTATGCTATATATGGAAACATTTACCATCAATATACCCCAAATGTTAGCATATGTACCATACATGGATCCTATGGGTTGGATCATCTGCCCCCACCTTTCGAATTCGATTATGACATCCTGACGACCCTGGCAGGGCCGGACCCCTCGAGTCCGTCTTGGCGCCATGGCAGGAACGGATTAGACAACGTGGCCATGGAATGGATCGCTAGCGGTCTGGTGGATGATACCCAGCCTCTTGGCATGGTGAGTCTCTGGTGATAAGCCTGGTGAAGCATGGTAACCCTCTGAGTTTTTTTAACCACAATCAGATGGTAAGTATGTAAGTGATATTTGTCGGGATTATTGAATGTCCTTACTGGGATCCAATTCCATTCTGATAGTCTGAAAGCTTGGTTTCCAATCATATGGGGCCTTAGAATGCCATCCTGAGATTGGATCCCCGTGGACAAATTTGGGGAACAATTCTTGCTACCAACAGCTTTTTACCAAGCTTCTACCCAAACCATCACAGATTCAAAACTGCAACTGAAGTAGTTTCAAGTTGCATACCCTCTGCAAACTAACATAGCTATGGGGAATTTGTTAAATATGTGGCTGATCATCATAGTGCATCCCATAGAGCGTTGATTTACCGGACGCTACAGTAATTCCCGTTAATCCATGTTTCCTTGATGCGATCATGTTAAATCCCTATGAATATCTTTACATTCGCTTGATGACCCCTTATCAGAATCCCTATGAATCACATTTAATCCCTGTAAATTTCGATTCATCACATTTAACCACTATAAATCCATATTTTCATCACATGAAAAATCCCTATGATCCTTTTTTCATCACCATGAATTTCCCAATGAATTCGACACGACTCATCCCCTCGCAGGCTGGACTACCTGGATGACCTCTGTGGCGCTCCGCTGTTGCCCAAGGAAGCGCGGCATCGCCGCGGGGCAGCGCCGGCCGCGCCGCCGCGGCCGCGGCCGGCGGAGACAGGCCCAACGCTCGAATCAACTGGATTCGTATGTTGGAACTGGTAATTTTCGACTGACAAGTATGGATTCTATGGGTGTGATTTTATTTTTAATATGTTTAATGGCATTTGTGGCCCGCTATTAAGTAAATCCAAGTTTAAACATGTTTAAAAATTCAATTTGCGACTTGAGTTCCAAGCTTTGATTGCTTGATGACATTTGAGTCATTCCTTGTGTAATTATAATGAATTCACCACTTTGGTATAATTTGGTTACATCCTATTTTTGCTGGTTAAGCTTAAGCCCAGTTGTTGCTGATCAAAGCCCAATTTTGGTTGGTTAAATCACCCCGATTTTCTCACTTCTCAGGCGGCTCTCAACCGTCACAGCCCTCGCAGCCTTCGCAGCCTTCGCAGCCATCGGCCACGTCCAACGACCGAGCCAAGATCCGTGAGGTTGCGACACCGCTGGGGGGTAAGAGCAGGGGTACTTTTTCATGATTTTCCATTATCATTTATACACCATATGCTCCATGTATAGTAAATTTACCTGCAAAACTGGGTCATTATTGTGGGGTAAATGTTGGTAAATATGCCAGCACCATGGAGCATATGGGTAACATTTTGGGATTTTCACACGATTTTCCATAATAATTTTCCCTATTTGAATTGATTTTCCACATAATATACATATATAATCATATATATATATATCAATTAACTAACATGGGAATTTCACATGGTGTTACCGTGTTACCGTCCATGAAATTCAGATATCGCGTGACTTGTCCAAACTGAGGAAACCCATAGGAATTTCCATGATTTAAGGATCAATAATGGTGAGTAAAAAGCACGATGTAAGATTCAAGCAACATGTGGGAATTGAGAATTTCCCGGTCAACATGTTGGAAATGGTAGAAATTGCAGACACCTGCATGATTCATGACCTTTCGGACCATGGGTCTGGGTCAAGTCATCCAGTTTTGCCGCACCTGCCGCTATTTGCGATCCAGTATTGCACCTGGATTTGCTGAAGATACACACTTTTGAAAGTCTATGTCCATGGATTCAATTCATTTTTTTTACATTATAGCGAGGTTTCACGATTTTGGATCTTATATTTGGGCCAAATTACAGAAAATCAAGAATCAAGAAGCTATCATTTAGAAAATGCCGACAAGTCCATGTGGCTTTGATTGAAAACCAGCAAAATTTCAAATCCCATTGTTATTTATCAATGTTTCCCCGAATAAAACGGCATTTTTGTGTCTCAATTTTTGGACACTCGATTCTTAGGGTCAAGCCCAGCAAAAATCTCATTAAATCGCCGTGAGATCACCTAAAAAAACACACCTTTTTTTCCCCATGAAAATTCCTGGAGAGTCCAGAAAAAACAATGATAGAATCAATTATAGAATCGTAATTTGAGTAATTATTGTTTTGCAATTTTCGTAGGAATTGACTCTGACTACTTTCTGCTTAATGAGTTGGGCTTCCAAAAAACACAATAAGAATAAAACGCATCAGACGCTGGCAGGTCCGCGAGGTGGTTGGCTCGGAGTATGGTGAAGGACTTCTTTGGATGCAGTCCCCCCAAAGAAAGGAATGAAAAAGTTGTTGGGTACAATGTATATGGTGATATGTGGTACAATGTATATGTACAAGGATAGATCATTAATTTCATGTCAATGATGGTTGTATATGGTGATGTCTAGATATTGTATGACGTTCCTATATTTTGTTCCTAGATTTTGCTGATCTTGTTTCGTCTTTCTGTTTAAGGGGCGGCACTGTCTGACTTGCCGGCTTCAGCGTTCAGGATTCATCCTGCAATGTTTGCTGCACTATGGCGGCTCTGTGCCACAGGCCACACCTGGGGACCCGGGATGGTACCCGGACGTTATCGCTGGTTTTCACGGTGGAGAGAGGTGGTTACCCAGGTGTCGGCGCACACATGAACACAAAGAATCCCGCAAGTTGTAGTTGTTAATGTTCAAAACATTAAAAACATGGATAACATGGATAACATGGATATTGCCTTGATACCCTGGTTTGGTATTGGATCGATCTACGTTATATGTTTCTGGTGGAAGGGCCATATGGTGTATCGAACATGAACATTTGTGTATGCATGCATTGCCGGCAGACAGCTGGTTCAGAACATGTTTTGCAACCCTCTGTTTTGTCTTTGTCGAAATGCCTAAATCCATTTGGGTTTGCATGAACATGAGGTATCCCAAAATCCAGTTGTTTATATTTGTTTATCATAAGTTTCCCCTATTAATTATATATATATAATGCTCAAATCGCTATCTTAAGGTAGCATAATATTCATATTCAGACACATAAACAAATAAATTGTGTACCTTAATGCATCATAAAATCCATCATTGTTTGCCAAAATGCTTTGTCAAAGCTACTTGCAATCCATTGTTGGCTAGGCTAAACCCCAGTTAAATCCTATCAATTTTCCCAATGGTTGTTGTTTAAATCCATATGAATCAACATAAGAACTTCTAAGATACCATAGTCCATAGTTATAAAAATTCCATAGAACCAGTGGTTAGATCCCATCTAAATGCCACATCAATCCATATGAGGCCGTGGGCGCTATTTTGGATGGCTCCCTGCCTCCTCAGATCACGGCCTTGCCCATTGGAATGTCCATGGGAGCCGGGGACAAGTTGTGGGGAAAGGGCTGGGAACCTGGGAGTTGCCACTGTCCAGATGGAAAATGTTGGGACAAAATTCTGGCGAACATATTTTTTTTGGTGTGAACATGTGGGGGAAATCAGAACGAGAACAACTAGTTGGCTTCTTTTCTTTTCTGATTTGCAATTTGGAGGTGTGATTTCCCTGCTGTTGGACACATCAATGAAGGGGGTTGGAATCTAGAAGTGATGGTGGCTGAGTTTCCAGGGTGGTGAGACATTTGAGACCCAACAAGAGTTGGCTGGAAACCATGTATTCCTCCCCGTTTGGGATGATGATAATGATAATGATGATGATCGTTGAATGTCTTTGAGGTCCAATGTTCAAATTGGCAGGAGTTGATTTCCTATTTTTTCCATAGGCCGTAAGGCTGTAAGTCATCTGTAAGTCATACCGCGATACCAGCTATAGATGATTCATTGAACTGGTTTAAGGGACAATCTACAGGAAAGCCCTATATTTGGTGGTACAAATGATGGTTTCCTGTAGGTTTTCCCTTAAACCACTCCATTGTTTGGTTGGTTTTTGCCTGTCACATGGAGATGAAATCGGCTGCGGACAGCCGGAATGTCGATCCCAGGAGCTGAAGCCATCAACAGCGCGGTGATGGAGAAACCATCCCAACCATCTTTGTCAGCGGAAGATAAGCAGCTGATTTTGAACCAGGTCATCCTAGCAGGGGATCTCCGATCGGGTGCTCGGTGCTGATCCTGATATTAATCCTGAGGTAGCTGAAGGATGCTGAAGGACTGTTACCTTTTTGATGGTTGGATGGTCAATGCGCCCAGCATCCATGGTGACTTCTACTTTCTTCCACATGCCCATCCAGAGAGGCAGTTTTAGGCCAATTGTTTGCAACTATGGAGTATCTCTGGCTGGGTGGTTTCAATGAAAATCATCCATAGCTGTGGGTCGCAACAGTCCACTTGGGGCACTTGGGGACAGTGACGATTACTGGTTTTGCCTCATGTTCAACCAATTTTTGTCACCTAAACAAACACTTATATATATATATATCAATTCCCTACGTATTAAGTATTTGTTTGTATTTTTTAGTATTACTGTAAAGTCCTTTGCTGATTACATCCCCATGTTACTGGTGTGAAAAGAAGTATTATTTCAAGGTATGATAGATGATGCGAAAAAGTCACGAGATAGCATCATGTTTCTTCCACAGAATCTCCAACCCATGGTGGCGGCCACTGGCCAGGCGGAGCGTGATGGCTCAGACGTGGAAGTCGAGAAATACAACGACGACTACGACGATGAAGAGGTGCCTCTCAGCAGGGAAGTGACGTCCCGTGAGGTACTGAGATGTGGCCACTGGTTCTGCTGGATATAAATTTGCTTCCATTTTATAATGGGATTTAACAACCATGGTGATGTAGTGAGATTCAATGAGGACTTAGCCTTCGGCGATCAAACATAGCAATTGGATGCAATAGTATGTTTTTTTTTTGGGGGGGGGGAGGGGGGCACAGGCACAAACATGCTTTTATAGGTGATTCCGGAATCGATGAATGAGGAAGTATCCATGGCCGAGTTTGACCAGAGCGTACGCCGAGTGGATGGGTTGCTGCTATGTTTGCAAGCGGCTAATCGCCATGAGAGTTCCCAAAACGTGGGACTGCAACATGATTCACATTTAAGCGGAAAAACAATGGTTTGGGGGTCCTCAATCCTATATAGTTTGGACAAGCGGCACACGAATATCTGCTATTTAATATCTACTAACCAATGTTTGCAAGGTATCTAAGGTAAGATTACCCTCAAGCCGGGGGTGCCGCCCAGCGGTTTATCATGTCACCAACTCTTTACTTGGGGGTTTCCAGATTTTATTAGGGTTTAGGCTTTAGGGTTTTGTGTTTTGGAAACAAATCTCGTCAGCCATTCGGCCATTCCGCCGACATCCAAAAAAAACATAAAACACTAGCCCTGCGCAGTCGAAACGCACTTCCCCGGGCAGCACCCCCGTCCTGGCCGTAAGATAATATAGCCATATAGTTTGACTGGCCATATTTTTCGTTGTGACTTTGCATCCGTTGGGGCACTTGAACTGTAGTATTAGCACCACAACATTGTTTTAACGATATTCAGCACTAAACAATGTAAATTGCTGTGTGTTGAAATGTAGTTTGCTTTGCTACATTTAAAACTGAAAGCACCCAACATTTGTTTTTAAACAACATATTTTGCATGAGACTTTGCATAGAATTTGTCATTGTTTCTTCAAACTTTGATTGTTGTATATACGTGTTGTCTCATCCCGGGTATCCATTTCCGTTGGCGTCTCCACCAACGGCAGGCTGTTGACATGCCAAAATTCGCCGCGGGTGTTGCTTCAGATTGGGAGGACCAAGGGGCCAGCCACTGGCTCGGGTTTCGTGCTGGGGAAGCTGAGGGATCGGACGGGTTTTGGATGTTTTGGATGCTTGGTTTTCAAGAATTATAATGGTATATAATAATGGTATATACCATTATAATTATGATGTCCTCTTCCAAGTTTTTCTGCAAAGAAAGATTGTGAATGATTGTGAGAGGCTTGCGGCTGGTGCGAAATGGTGCGAACTGCATCAAATATATAAATGGCAAAGGGGTTGCCCAATGTTGCCCACTCCAAACAAAATGTTTGCAGGACAGAAGCGAAGAAGAAGATGAAGGCAGTAGCGACGGTGACGAACCCAGATGGAGCAATGACAGGCACTGGACGGGTTCCCGTGGTGCAGCTGGGCATATGCTTTGCACTTGCTATAACTTGTTGATGGTTTCAAGGTGTTATTTCCAGTTATGCTTAAACTGTTATTTCCAGTTTCTGCTGTCAAAGATAATCCAATTGATGCATTGTTCTTGGCCAAGCCGAATCCACGATGTCAATGGATGTCATGGCACCAGAGCCGCGCCAGGATGCGTGGTGGCAGGCTGAAAGGAAAAGGCAAGGGCAAGGGAAAGAGCTCTGGCCCCACTCAAGGCCAAACTGTCCAGGCCACCGCCGACCGCATCCAGTGCTACATTTTGGAGGATCAAAACCGGGCACAGGGCGTGTTGTACTTGCCACATCTTGCCACCAATTATTCACCATGTTGAAATGATGGAAACACACACATATATATATATATATATACATATATATATATATATGTATATTTTTTTTGTTTGAGACTTGACTGCGTGTGTGGTTGCTTTCGAACTTCAGACTAGACCTGCGGCTGGGACTTTCCAGTTTACTTTTACAGCCAATTCGAGGCTGCATGTAGCCCCGCACCATGGATGGTACCTTCTGGTCCTGCATTCTAGCCCGGCCATGGTAAGTCCCTATTCACGAGGGAATAGATGGAATCATAATCCATCTACCCTATTTAATACAGCTATGGCTATGGTCAATCACCGTTGTAATAGGTACATACGTGATCATACGTGTACTGGTAGCTAAATCATCCATGAATGAACCATGTTCATTCATTTTCCATCGCTGGCTATGTTAAGTTTTCCCGGTAAAAGTGAAGACTTTCCAGCTCCACAAGGGCCCAACATCCGGAGAAGGTCACCGTCTCGGAAGGGATATGGACCTGCGGCTAGTACTATCAGCCCATGAATGGTGATTGTATGGCAGCGATTACCACTATTCTTTCTGTATCGTGTAATACAATCAAGATAGTATGATAACTATCACTATCAGTCTTTAACTATATCTTACTTTCATTACTAAGATTAAGATTATAATGAGTGATTCCTAGCTTGCTATTGCTGGGTTACTATTCCTGTAATGGATATTCCGTCGCAGTCGCAGGCTCGAAGAAAAGAGGCCAACAAGGCTCAAGTGGCGAATCACAACCGCCGCGATGCCGCCATGCGAAGCTTGGAACCGGTCGGTGGATGAACAGGGAAGGAATACAGGGAATCGTCATCCGAGGGAATCTAAATATATTGGGAAGTGTATTGGGTTACAGTATATTGGGATGAAATAGAAATTGGATCATCTTAGATAGTCTAATCATGTCTAATCAATCTAAATCTAATCCCAAATTGAATACGATTATTTTTTGGCGATTCTCATCATTTGTTGATGAACATCCCTAGTAACCAACCAGTAGAAAGGGACGACGAGCAGCGGGTTTTGACCGCTGCTCATATGGCACCTTGGTTTGGACTGGATGGTTATCCCACCTAGATATGGTATAATTATCGGAAAAATGTATGTATATGTAATGTATGTATATATATATACACAGGTTCTGAGCCATCCCCATTTGTAGTGATATATATATATATACAATATACATACATTTATTTATTTAATGGATGGTTTAAACCATCAAACATGGCTGGGGGTCGCACCTTGTAGGAGTGTATGTACCGAAAATCTTATTGATACCGTGTTGGATTACATTATTATATATGTCATACTGATTTGAGTCGGAACTCAATCTGGACCTGGAATAGTTTTCAGGGTAGGTATGAGCTATAATGCAGCATTTGCTGCATTTTTTTTACACATAAACAGATTGGCAATACCCTCTGGTAATTTGACGCGGCTATACTATGAAAACGGTTCATGTACAATTTATAGATGATATTCCTATAAAAAAAAACAGGAATTTTCCGTAGTTGTTGAATTACGGGAGGGTAAGCATTGAACCACCGAATCTTGAGATGCCCAGGGCCCTAATGTCGACCCCTATGCATTGCATGCCGTGAATTCTCCACGGTTGGTTGGTTGGTTGGCTGGTTGGTAAGACACCAACATCTTTGGTTGATTGAAATCTGATTTAGTGTTTTTTTTTGGGGGGGTCATGTGTTGATTCATTCATATATAAGTATATACACACAGTATACAGTATATACCTAAAAATTAAAAATACATGATATTCTGGTTGGTGGTTTGGAACATGTTTTCCATATATTGGGAATAATCATCCCAACTGACTTTCATATTTTTCAGATGGGTAGGTCAACCACCAACCAGTATTAGTATACTGATAGACATGTCCGTTCTGGTGTTACACCATTGATCATTGGCTGGTCATAGCCACATGATTCTCCTTGCGAGGAAAGATGGCTCGGGGTCTTTGAGATGCTCTTCGCACTGAGCTACGTTACCCGACGTTACCCTCCAGTCATCAATCACGGCTAGCTCGGAAAAACCAACATGTAGTTCAATGATGTTCAATCTGTTCCCAGCTAGAAACCTTCATGAATGCCGCGTTTAATTACCAGAGGCAAACATAAGTTAACTAACTCATGGACATATCAAGTGAAATAACCATGGAATTTGTCGAATGAAATGCACCGACTTGCCGGACACTGCGACTGTGGGACCCCACATTGATGCCGCTGGCGCTGCGAAGCCACGAAGCCACCTGGGAGTTCCATGTGGCACATTGTCCCGCTGCCCCTTTTTTCCCATCGACCCATGGAAGCTGGGCCACCAGGCCTGACATAGACACGACCCAGATCGGCCCTAGTGAATGTTCAAAGGGTAACGTGGCAAACTCAGGGTAAACCAGACCCCATGTCCTCAATGATTTGTCATATTTTAATATAGTTTACCCTTTTTGGGGGATAAAGAACCAAATCATAGACTATACTTGAGTCTTTGGGCATCCCCACGCCTGGAAAATCATGACTAAACCATACTAAGCCCTATAATTATAGTCTATATAGTGACCATATGGCCTAGATTGGACTGACACATGTTGGGTAACTCCAGATGATGATGATGATGTTCCCTGGATGGCGTTGCCGTTGAAGCCCCCAGGGCGAAACAAAAACTAGACGATCTAGAGCGCCTGTGTACAGGTTCGTGGCACTGAATGGATGGTTCGAAATATGTCGGAATCACATTTGTTTAATTGAGCATTGATCAAGATATATCAAGTCCTTTTCCCGGTGATATTCTGCAGCTGGTTGATACTGTATTGATATTCTTGGGAAAGTTTGGGGAGAGTGTACCTCAAGCCAAGGAGCACAAGATGAGCAATAAACCATGGTGTTTTCATTGTTTGCATGCCATCGAAGATTTTCAGCATGTTCCAATAGTACGGTACCCGGTCCATGGCTGTTTCTGACACTGGGGTGTTTATCTCCAAGTTATGGCTATTTTTATTTTGATTGGGGCAATGATGATTAACCGGTAGATGGTGGAATGGGTTAATCTATTTTCAGACAAACAGAATTATGTCCATTGTTGTGAACCTTCCGCGAAAGTGCCCATGCTGTTGGACAGAGGCACACCGCAATTCCTGCGCGTGCGCCGAAAAAGAACCACTGCTGTAGGAGAATGTGGGGGGAACCCCCGGAACCGTGGGATTAACTGAATTATCATGCTTGGGGATTCAAAGGGGAGGGAGAAAGACGGAAGGGAGATGGATAGGAAGGTATTCTGAGGTTCGTTAACCATAGAGTGTCACCAGGCTTATAATAATTCTAGAAGGGATGGTGGTCGATTAAAGTATGTTTTTTGATTGCGACATGTCAAATATTATTTTCAATGTTATGCTTGTGAAAGCACGCCTGTCCTGCTTGCAAGACAACTGTTTGTTTTGTTGATGCTTCTGTTTGTTTTTACAGTAAGTGCGTGTGCGTATCATGTCTCAACCCCTCCCTTCCATGGGGTATCAAAAGGTTGCCAGATACAATTAATTGCATGTTTGGCAGGCCATTGCAATGCCGTGGACAGGTTGAACCACGTTGTGGTCACAAAATAAGTTTTGTTTGGTTTGACATTCTGCTGCTAGCTTAGCTCATTATGCTCAAATATGTTAAAGGATGCAAACACCCAATGTGTATGTGGATTTGTTTTTGTAGTGTATGTTTGACCATTCGTTGGACAACACATGCACAAAATCCAGCCTCTCAGGTTTCCAAGATGTCTTCGTTGTGTCGCTTCATGTTTTCCACACCCAAGAGCAATGCTCATCCCCAATCCCCACGACTCGGGGAGTAATGTGATCCACTTGGCATTGTTCGAGGTGAGCTAAAGTGAGCTTTTTCTGAATTACCAAACTTATTGTAAACTTATCGTCAATCACCATTTAAGATATTTTAATATCACTCTTACGGTTAGGATTATATAAGATTATATAAGCATACTTATCATTATCACTTCTACTCAGCATCAGCCAGTAGCATTATCGATCAATCGTTCATGAATTTGTGAATGAACAGACATCTAGATTTACTCGCACAGTTTCACCACTTCCGACCGTCTCACCACATAGCTTAAGTGTGTTCATCCTTAATATCATAACACCTATCCCCTTGGATCAAATTATAATTCACTAGTCTTAGTAACTGTCCATAGTTGAATATCCAACTGAATCATTACAGTTGTCTCAGTCAATCATATTTTGATTTTCCACTAGCAATCATACAATAGCAACACATCATACTCTTACATTATATATTAATATTATATTTGTACAGCTAATGCGTTACATATGTACTATATAATAATAATACTAATAATAATAGTAATAGCAATAATAATAATAGTAATAGCAATAGTAATAATAATATATATATATAATGTGTTCTTACCTACCCCATAAATACAGTACTATATTATGTATACATATATGCTTGGTGTTTTAGATCATTATTATAATTGCATTTTATTCTTTATCGTTATATTGTCAGGTACTCATGGTACTCATGTGACCAGGCATTGTATTACCATTTCTATATTGCCAGATATAGTTGTTTTACCTCAGCAATTGTATACTAGAATCATTATTGTTTGTGGAATTGTTATTATGATATATTATTATATTATAAAACGTTTTTTTAATATCATGATCATAAGCACCTGGAAAAATAAATAGTGTTTAATTGTGTGTGATTATAACGATAATAATCATGACAAAAATAATAAGAGTACATAATCAATAGTAATAGTAATATACCTGATATATAATCTCATTAGTGGTAATGATTCTTCGGAATATTTGAACCCACTTACGGTAGTGATGATTCATTAATAACTTACTTGTAACTAACAGTTCAAATTTCACCAAGTAATATGAATAATAACTACTAGAATATAAAATTAATATTCCTGTTACAATGAATGCTAATGAAGAGCATATAAGTACTACCGTACTATCACAGTATGAATATTGCTATTCCAATCAATATTCCATTAATAGTTCAGTAAGTAAAAATAATGTTCTACGATTACTGATCATTAATTTACTGTTTACCAATTAAGATAAAGATTAGTAATGGTAATGACTAATAATAATAAATCAATCAGTAGGATTGAGTACTACTAGCTATAATTACCACTTAGTCCTTCTACTGATTCATTCCGAGGCGCTCGCAGCTGGCCTTCTTCTTGCGGCAGCTGCAGGAGACGCTTCAGGGCCTTCCGCAGGCCCTGCGAGCTGCGGCTGCTCAACGGCACCCGGGAGGCGCGCGCCGTAGTGGGAGAGGGTTGTTATATGTTACCCTCTGGTAAACTAACATAGCTATGGAAAGTCACCATCTTCAATAGGTAAATCAACTATAAATGGACCATGTTTAATAGCTATATGTTAAATTACCAGAGGGCATTCCTTTGTCTTAAAAACATGCCTGTTTCTGTCTATCTATGTTTTTTCTTATTGTTTCAGCTTTGATCCAAATTTTGTAGGGTGAACTTGGTGGAATATGCTGGTTTCACCAATTGCTATCTATATTTAGGGGGTCGGGGCATCCGGAATTTGTAGGCAAAAATTGGATTAAATGACAAATGACGTGTGTTTTTGATGACCAAACTTAAAGGCTTAATGGGGTAAAATGTCATGCCACAAACCCAACAGTCGTCGAAGTGTAGATAACGTGTCATTGTGTTTGATTTAGCTGGGAAGAGCTGTTCGCAAGCAGGAATTTGATGATGGAAATGGTGTTCTAAAAATGAGGCAAACACTTGGCACTTTTGCAGCTTTGGAACCGCAACATCTTACCATGTGCTCGTCCATCTCGTGTTTGTGACTGTGGTTTCTTGCTGCTTTGGGCAAGTCTCCACCCTGTGAGATCGTCCTGCTGTTGGACAGGTTCTGCTACCCCAGTGGCCGCCCAATAAAATGTTGACAAGACATGACAATAAAAAACCATTTACAACTTCAAGCTGCAGAGAAAGGTGTGTTGGTGGTGTAAGTCTAAGTCCTGGTAGTAGAGGTGAGATATGTGGAGTTCATAACCCCTTGATAACCCCTTGATTCTCCCATGGACTGGTTTGATACCCTCAAATGTATGAGTTTCTCTGAAGATAGGGTACAGTATTCAGTTGTTAATTTATCATTATTTTCCCTCCCAGAGTCGCCAGAACTTGGGGGTTAATACCGTATTTTCATGTATTTTCAGACAGACCCAAATTATATCATATAGTATCAATATAGTATCCCCATCGAATCTCCATAAAATCACATTTGTTTTTTGGATAAAAAACATGTGAAACCCATGGTAAAACCATCGTTTTTCACCGTTCAATCACCATTGGTCAACCATGAAATCCCCCTACAGTGCACCTGTCTCAGGCGATCACCGCGAGGAGCTGATTCCCAAGCAAACGGCGGTGGCGGCGCGTGGCTGGGTATATTGGGTTTGCGTCTAATGATGGCAAACAAAAAGGTGATTGTTCAACCACCCGTGATGGTCAAAATCATATCCCCCACTGCTCAAAGTTAACTTGCTTGCAGGTTCTCGTATTTTTCTGGTTGACCATTATCGGGAGAAAATCACCTTCCAACATCTATATTTTTATAATTCCTGAACGAGTTGTTTGTTTATCTCTGGGTACCTGCTCAAGGGAACCTTGCGATCCTAGGTCTCTTACGCCGAGCCTTGCAGAACATCTTGTGGAAACGGCTGGGTTGCTTCTTACATAGGCTCATCGGGCTGAGGCCCGGGGGTGAAGGCTGAAGGTGCGGTTGGTGGCTTGAGATGGTTTAGGGGATTCCGGGATGCCTGTGGTCCTTAGTGCCTTTGTGTCATTCATCAATAAATCAGGAGTCCTAAGATTTTCAAGAACAATGCCGCAAGAACTGTTCATGAGGGAATATTGCTGTGAGAAATCTAGTCGAAGGTCATGTCCCCAAACTTGGCCCCAAGTTATTCCCTAAAGTGCCGACAAGGCCCACATGGCGCAAAGATTTCAAGGTTTGTTTGGGCCAACACCAAAGCCTGGATGATCATCCTTAATATCATACTGATTCATGCTCAGTAAGCACGGGCAGTTGACATGTCGGAAAAAAAAACACCATCACGCGTGTTCTTGGGTGGGTGCAAGCGATTGGAGCCAAATGTTACTTATTAAGAACATCTTGTTTAGGCAAAACGCCAACCTGTCAATTAGTTTTAACAATCCGATGTTCATTTGATTTCCCATGGTTTCTTCAGTATATACCAATCCCGTTTGACATAGATTCAGCATAGGCAGCATAGGGCCCGCAAAGAGTCAAACACCCCTTTTCCTGACACGTGAGTGACGATTTTTGCCTTATGTAGTTTTTCCCCAACTTGGAGCATAGTTGCCATTGCTAATTACCCAAACCAACCAAAAAAGATGAGGCACGCTACTTGAATAGCCAGCAAGTGTTGCATTCAACGGTCCTGACAGATCCACATGAGCCACCGCAAAAAATTCAGCGATACCCCCTTTGAAGGTTATGCCATACCCACATACATCATTTTCCTTCAAGCGATACCCCAGGAAATTGCCGTATACATCATTTTTGTACAAACGCGTAGTAAGCAATAGTATAGTACCTTCCCAAATATGAATTTGTTGATGTTTTTTTCGTGAACCTTGAGTTTCCGAGATTGCTCACCTAGACCGATCATAGACCTGTATCCATGTCTCTGAAAATCTTAATCTTACATCTTTGGACAATACCCAGATATACCCAGAATGGATGCAACCTACAAATATACATGCATAACACAACCGTGTAGCTGGGTGGTATTTGATATGGACTCACTTGGATCATTTTGGATCCACCATAGCCCCAACAAATCCGACCGAAAGTCGGCCTGGCCCGAAGGCCTTTACCTCGCTCCAGCCACCGCAGCGCCGGTGCCGGTGCACAGAGCGGGGCGCCCCTGGGGCGCCGCTCGGTGGCGCGGCAGGGCGCGCATGCACAGCGTTCGAGCGCTTTCTTCCTGGGGGAGGAGCTGGGTAAATCCACCATTTTGCTGCAGGATATTGCGGAATTAGTTGAAGGTTGATGGAAATGGAAATCACCTGAAATATGACAAACTTTGGTATGTTAATGCTGGAGCTGATGTCCATTGACGTTCCAGGGCTAACATATTTGAATTATGCCAATGAAAGATGCCGAGGAACATCGAGGAACTGGCTGTTCCTTGACCTCTCAAAGGCCCAAAAGCCGGATTCGGCCTTGCCTTGATTTGCCTTGTCCAACCACTTGGAAGTGGAACTGTTGTTGTTCCCTTCTCGGCCGTCACAATGACCGGGACCAGCCAAGAATCCAGATGCAGCTGGTCCATGTACAGGGCCAGATTTGCAACGGTGCTTGACATTCTACTGGATCCAACCTACACCAATATTAGCCGGGGAGCTTTTTCGGGGGCGGTGACAGCACGAATGGGAACGGGTCCATGATGGTCCATGCATGACGATGCTGAGGCATTTGGGACTTGACGGTATCTAGCGGCGGCGGGTACGACACACACACACACAGACAAAAAAAAAACACAAACAAACAAACCCACCCACGCCCGGCCGCACGCACGCACCCATGCAACAGTCTCATACTGATACCTCGTACATCATCATACCATTAAAACCAGATACAACGAGCAAATGGAACTTCAAATCCATCATGAGGGTCATAGTTCTTGGATGTTTCACGTTGCCGCTTTTCACAAGTCTTGTCCTGCTGCTGACTGACACTGTGATTTGGTCAGTGGTTTTTCGTTTTGAAATGAAAGCGAGTTTGTAGTAAAATAGGGCACCCCAAAGTCCACTATAGTTAATCATTAAATTTACCACCATTTTCAGAGAACCCCAAATGGCTTTGGGCCTTGAATCCTGCCACCGCACACGTGAAGGACTTTGGGGATATTCAGCGCAGTCCGCCCACAACTGCTGCTTGGTCGCACAAAGTGGTGACCTTGTTTCCATGTGTTTCCACTGGTTGCTTGACGGAGGGGCATACCCCATTGGCAACCATTAGGCCTTAGGCAACGGATATGATACAATACAGTACAATGTGGTCAATCCAAGTTTGAGCAGATTTTACCGGATTTTCATTCTCAATCAGATTTATCTAGGTTATCCTAGGTTTACCAAGTTTGATCATGTGAAACAATCATTACTCACTGAGGGTTTCGCATTGTGATTGCCCGTTGCACGCGGGGTGAAGGTTGCATGGCTAATGCGCCACGGCGTCTGAAAGAAAGACTTCGAAACTATGAAAATCGTTGTGTAGCAAAGCCCAAGCAGATATTGAATTTCAAAAAGGAAGATCCTGCAAAAATAATATACATACATATATATATATATATTTAATTGATTTTAATTGTATTATATATAGTTTTTAGTTGATAAATATAGTTGATATAGCTATGTCAATTGACGATTCCATCTTTTTGGAGGTTGCTAAAGGCCATTTCTCGAAGGAAAAGCCGGTTAATAACTGCTTGGGTCAGTTGCACCAAGGCTCATGAGCTTCATGGCACCCAAAGCCTACGTGATGCCAAGGTGGCGTGCCGCATGTGATGTTTTTCTCGGATTCTATGGGATTAAATGGTCATTTAACCATCAACAAATAGGTAGTTGTTCAATGGGATTTACCCATCCATGGGGGATTTTATATGAATTACAGTAAATGGGATATATGATCATCAATGATAGGGACTTTACAGACATAACTATCAAGAACGGGATGATTAGCCTCTGGTAAGTTCTTGAGCCATGGAAAGACCAACTCATATAATGTGGGCCAACCCAGCCCCAGCGAGGTGAAGAGCCAACCCAGCTCCACTCCAAGCTTCCAGACTCTAACACCACAAGGTTACAAGGTGGTGGCTGTTTTCCTCTTATGTTTGCGGCTTGAATACACATCTAACTGATTATACTAGATATAACGGCCATAAAGGCCACAGTGCCCGTTTGTGTTGTATATGTTGGTGGGTTAATGACCTTTTAAGCGCATAACTACTAGAGACTAGAGATATCTAGAGATCATATCCATAAACCATAGAATTTCCCTAGTGAACAAGCTGAAGCAACTTGGCGAGGCTTCAAAGACGGCCCACCCGAAGATGCAAACGGAAGACGCCGCCGCTCGACGGAGAAATGGCGATGTTTGGTACCGGAAAATGGGGATTTTATGGTGACTTTGTAGGGATTTTACATTGTTTACTTCAAAATGTGGTTGGATTTAATGAGAGTTTGGCGATACTATGATTTGGCTCAGTCTGAAAACCCGCATGTTCTGGCCATTTTTAAGGGGGAATGATGATAAGCATTGGATGGAAAGGCGTACCATTTTTTTTCTTGAGGAATCATCCTGGGGTTCGGCTTTTCTCAGCTTTCACAACTGGATGTTGACTTTGTTCCATGAATCTAGGGTCCGTCACAGTTTGATGCAACACCTCCTGACTCCTCGAACCGGAAAATTTGAACCTTGTAGAGAGAGAACCACTTTTTGGAGCTGGGGACCGTGAATATCACTAGGAAAAGTGGGGAGCTCAAGAGCTTAATTGCAGTAACCCCCACTAAATTAAATGAAATCATGAATTAAATCATCATTGAAATCCATTCAACTACCGTTTTTCCATGTTTTTTCATTCAAAATTCATGTTACCCGCATAAATAGTAGCTTCTGTATCCCCACAAAGGGATGGCGCTGGAGAGAGAGAGATATCCCCATGTTCCATGTCTCCACCGCAAGGCCTTGAAGATCCAATCGGTGGAGCGGGGCCGTCGCGCGCGGAAGAGTATGAAGCTGCAGATGCAGGTGCCCTTCTTATCCTTCTGTTCTGGCCCAGTTAGCTCAGTTCAACCTGATGATTTGATGATTTGATGGTGGGGACTTCACCATTAAACTCATGAAACATGGTGATTTCGCCTGCGCCAGAACGTTGGGGCACCAAACATGGAGCCTGGTTGGCCTAGTCGTAACAAAGATCGGGGAGATCTGTCAACTAATTTTGAGGAGCTTCACAAGAAACAGACAAGTTAGTTAATCAGTTATATGTTTACCAAAAAAAAGCAACTGAAATGGTGGTCTAGCAAAATTGATGATGGAGACAACCGACTGAAGTGGGACAAACTTACCAGCTTGGTTTCATATCTCAAACAGGAGGGGTTGGGCCACCCTTTTTGTATTTGCATTCATTTTGTAGTTGATGTATGTTGAGGAAGTTGAAACATTCATAAAATGTAACTAACATTCATAAGAGATTTTCCTTTGCCATGTTTGATTACAAGAGGGTATCCTTTTATGGTTTCACTTTGTTGAAGCTTGAGAATTTGGAATCTGGGTATTCTGTTGGGAGGCCAGATGTGTTTAAGTCTTCAAGTTGCATTTGTATGGAAAGATCCCCTGTTGGTATGTGTGATGTTCTCAGAATTTATGATGGTCGGAACTTTGGATGGCATAGACCCAACTACAAAATGTCATTGGGAAAAATCATGTTAGCAATTCCGATTTTCAGTTATTTTTTAACTTCAGATGCATTGGATTTTGTAGTGCTGATTTTGAATTATTTTCCGAGCCAGAAAGAGTTATGTTCTTCATTTTGTAGTTGCAAAAACAGTAAAAAAAAATAAATTGCACTGCATTGTGTAGTTGCGCACCCTATGCATTCCGCTTTGTACCTACCAAATGTCATTGCACAACTTCTCCCCCCTCACCTGAACCCTGATTTTTGTTGGTTGGCCTTTTAAAGAGAGCCCTAACTAAAGAGAGCCAGTAATTCAGCCCATACAAGATGAGGGCTTTCACCGGAAAGCTGTCCCAACCATTTTTTTTTTTGATATGATTTGATTCCGGGCGTTCACTGAAACAACACCCTCTAACTATAGATATATTTCTGTATATCATATATATATATATATATATACATAATATATATATATATATATCGCATAGTATATATATATATATCACATATAATATACTCTAGTATGTATAATATATATATATTGATATATAACCGTTGTCAAACACATATAGCAGTTGTCATCGTGAAAGGTGATGTTTCTAGCGGAACGCCAGGCCACAATGTCACCCCCGGTGGCATCGGAACGGCCCGTGGGTCCCACGGCCGCTTCGGTGCATGGCGCGGTGGTTGACACTGGGCTTAACGAGGTGGGATGGTACGAGAATCACATTTGGGTATGGATCAATACCTATGAAAATACAATTTTTAGTGGGATGAACATCCATTTTAACCCAGCTATGACTTGGGGTGAACAGAAGGGGTACAGGGTTTTGACCCATCCCCATTTCTTACCAGCTGAGTTTTTTTAGAGTGCTGGGTCAAGTCTTGGTCAAGTCTTGACATAGGAAGTTCATGGAAGTTCTTCCAGACCCATCACTGCGCAGTGATTGTCACTTTCCTTGGCTCCCATCCCACGATGGGTCAGGAACAACCTCCACCATCTCATCCCTCTCATCTTCCTGCTTTACCACCGGTACCGCTGAAAGTCCAAGAAGCAGCGGTTTCTTGGTGGTCGTACACCTGCAGTGAGTGTCATTATGCGGGCCCCTAAGTTTCACGGTTAGTCGGAGAGAATCCGATGCATCCCGTTGCCGTATTATCATTCCCATCATTCCCACTTTTGTTTTTGTGGCATGGGGGTAGAATATTTGTTACATTTCTGGGGCATTGAGAGTGTTATTTTTAGTCAGCTCACAGATGCAGAATGATGCAGATGTTGACTCCGAGCCTTCGAGGTGCTTTGCAAGCAGGTGTATGACCGGGTATTGGCGCATCCAAGGAAAAATAATGAGACTGCATATATATATATATATATATAATTATATATATATTACAGCAGCGCAAAGAAGTTGGGATATTTGGGTAAATCAATGTATTATTTAAATGTCAACTGTAGATAATTCAGCAAATTGGAAACGCTTGAGTAATTGGAGTTCACTCCCCAAAATATGACTGATGGATTTGAACATGGAACCCGAAAAGTTTAAGCCAGCCAAGGCAAGGTATATTCTGTAGTTGTACTTGGCGCAAACAGGCACACGTGCACACACTATCGATATAGACCGAATTCAACCTTCAAAAAGATAGAACAGTAATTGCAATCCTACCAAAAATTCATGGTAAAGTTGACCTGTTCCATCCTTTTCGATTTGTTTTCCGGGTTTACTATGTGTAAAGATCCCTATGCCCTATGCATCCAAATACTTCGAGAGAAGGTACAGTACATCGCCCCTATCATACCCCAAAGACCTCAACAGAAGGTACGGCTGGATCCATATGAGATAGACATAAAGTACGTACACAATGTGAGTAAAGCATAGTAAAGCAATATGGTCCACCATCCCCAATTTACCACAAATGGGTGGCATAAACCATCAACATATGGATGCTTTATTTTGCAAACATGAACTGGATATAATTGGATGTTAATCCTCAGCTCTCCGTTCCATATTTTCATCCAGGCTACTAAGATCCAAGCACACCTGCGGGGTCGCATTGGCAGAAAGGTGGTGGCACAGAAGAAGAAGGCGCCACGACTCCAGATGTGAAAAACATGGTGATTGTCCATAGCTATATGTTAGCTTTCCAGGGGGTACATGTTTTGGGTCGGCTGGAGACAGTCTTCGCAAAAATCAAACGGATGTCCCTGGCGCGCACGCCTCATGAAACATATATAATAATGTATATTCTTGCATTTCGGAGCGGAATCCACTTGACGGAACATGTCCATCCATTGTAGTTTATGACCGCCACCAAAACAATTGCTTTGTAGCTGACTCTTCAGCCAGGTCCAGCAAGATGGCACAGATGTATAGAAGATCTACCCATAAAAAATGCGATTTTCCATATTTATGTTAGTTTACTGGAGGGTATATGATATTCCCTACTTCAGAACTTTTGGGCGGACCCGTAAAATTTCTTTCTAGCCAGGAATTCACATCACAAGACAAACGCCCCAGCCGACAGTTGTATTCCATCTGGCAATCCCAGGAATCTGGCCCGGAATGTCATCCAGATTTCGAGAAAAGGGCATATATTCAAACTCCAGTAAACAAACCTAGCTTAGATATGGAAAATCACATATGTTTATTTTTGACGGGGCAAATCATTCATCAATGGACAATGTTGCATAGTTGCCTTCCGGTAATCAAACATTGGAAGGGAAAATCCTCCATGTATATAACGACTTTCCCATTGAAACGTTCATTCATAGGGGATTTTCCAGCCAGGTTTGATTAGCAGACGATATTTTAGATTACCAGAGGATAGAGGGGAAAGGGATCGATGACAGCCCCTGCTGTGTTTGCAGGTCTTCTCCCGTCGATCGGCCTTGAAACTCATCGCCGCCAAGCCTGGCCCTTCGGGCCCTTCGGGCCCTTCGTCGCCAGCGCCGCAGGTGGCACGGACTGGGGGGCACAGCTCACAGCTGGGCAGCTGAGGCACAGCCTTTGGCTGCCGCATTTGTAGGGGTGCGCTACTCGCCCCTGACCCTAGGACCCTAGGTCAGTCTCACCTGTTGAGATGGCGATGGAGAGAGAGAGAGAGAGAGATTATGATAAAGCATGATTGAGCATATGTGAGCTTGTATGATATTACATATCCCAAATTTATTTAAGATGACCACCCATGTCCCAACGACTTGACCCATACATTGATCATTGATGCGTTGGGAGTTAGTTACTGAACATTCTGGCAGAATCTCGCCTGGCAATAGAACATGTTCATTTTTGAGATGCACATCATCTAAAACCAATGATTTTCCATTGCTATGTTATACTCCCAGGGGGTATACTGTACATCACCAGGTCCGTATAGAAACTGCCATGATTTGTCTGGATCCAATTTTGCCACTGTTATATATATATATGGATATTGCATTTGTTTATTGATAGGGAGAGATATTAGAGATCCTGAAGTCAAAGTTATTATATGGTTATCATTTCTACATGACACGGTGATGTAAAAGAAAAACAACATGTTGGATCCAAGTTGGGCCCGCTGGAGGTGACTGATGCAGAGAAGCGAACGCCTTCCAAGGCACTGCCAGCTGTACATCCACCGCACCAGGGCCTTTGGAGAACACCCCAAGTCATATTTTTGTGGTGAGACCAGTGGCTTAACCAGTTGGACGATTCCTGAAGATTGCTATGAATAGGTGGCATTTGGGATAGGCCTTGGCGATGGAGATTGCTCTTGCCTATCTCCATCTCCCATTTAATGTTTCAAACCCAATAACAAGTCTGACCATATGTTAGCCCCTCCAATTTTCGTTGAAAAAAATGTCTCACACCTGGCTTTTGTTTTCCGTGCTAGCCATGTTATATCATGTTACACATAGGATATCCCCGGGGACATCCCCTGGAAGTGGGGACCTACAAGCAGCATGATAAACCAATCCTATTTGGCATGCACACCAAAGTCTGAAAGTGACAAGAATGCAACAGTGACGAAACATATACTGATATAGACTGTATCTTTCAATTCATGAACGAGTTATCAGTTAATATTTAAGTGTATAGGGGCTGTAGGGCTTTGAAGTAAATAAGTCATGGCATGTCATGACTATAGGTTAACTATAGGTTGACTAAGGGATCAAAAACGGTCATCCATTTCTTGGTGACTATAGTGACTATAGGTTAGCTAAGGTTGACTAAACCCTCGTTTTTTGGTGTAATCCCTTAGTCAACCTTTTTTTGGTGTTCCAGACATACCAGGCCGCCGCTGTTCCGCGCATGCGCCGATCCGTCTCAGCCAAGAGAAGCTTGGGAAGTCATGGGTGGCTGATGGTGTGGCATGTTGGCAACCTATGACAACGTTTTTTTGGGGGGATTGGTCGATACGGTATCATACCTATTGATCATGTTATTTTCAGAGGATGAACATCCCTATAGTAGTGATGTTCACCAGGGGGGTACAGGGTTTTGACACTGCAGCCGTTTGAAATAATGCGTAGTAAACCCAGCGATGAATTCATTGTTTGGGGACGTACGTTTCTTTGGTGGTTACTTATCATGCTTACCCGGGATTGGTTCAGTTTAAGGAATAAAGTTAAAACAAAACAATCTAGGAAACCTCCTGGTTTTTGTTGGTAGGATGCATGGTTTCCCACAACTCTTCCCTCAAGTCCATCCATGATTTTTTGATAAAGACTCATTTGGGCCCTTGTAGCATGGGTCATATACGGTACGTTTGAGCGAGCTGTGACAAGTCATGACATTCACGCCGAAGTGGCAGATGCAACCCTAAATTTACATGCATAGTCTCGGAACAACTAGGGGTAAAGTGAAAATTGATTCACAATGTTCATCCATATAATACAATCGACTATACTACATACATTGTATAGAAAACACTATATATATATATATGTGCATTATCAGACAAAATCATGATCTATATCACACACAAATACACGCACATAGATATATATATATTATTCTGGTTGGTGGTTTGCAACATGTTTTTATTTTTTCATATATTGGGAATCATCATCCGAACTGACTTTCATATTTTTCGGAGGGGTAGGTCAACCACAACCAGATTACTAACCAAATTATCATAATAAAAGTAATAGTAACTACCATATAGTATACTAATATTGGTATACTAACTAAAGGGAACTTCCAATGACTACGTAATACATACACCACGTAATCCAATGACTTTCCTTAAAGGGAACTTCCCGTATGGCAAAAACGCCACGTCGAGCAAGGACCTGATAGCGCCTTGGAGGACGCTGCCACGGTTTGATGCTTTAAAATCACCATTTTCAGTGGGGAAATTTACATGGAAATGCCATGAAATACCTATAATTTACATGGAACTACCAATAAATACCATGAAATCATACCTACCTGGTAAGGTCTGGGTGTTAAAATTTTAATATATCTTTCTAAAACGTACCTTTTCGGGGAGTTGAACGGTTCATTTACGCTCCTGGTCCTGTATTTTCACATATTTTTCTGGTCGAACGTTTTTTTTACGTACATACCCTGTTAAGGTCAAATATGATGATATAAAGCATTTCAAGCACAATAAATAAATCAGCTCCGTACAGTGGCGATTTTCCATCTGCAAAGGATAGTAGTCCCCTTGCTTTTTGCCAGCTATTTAGCCAGAAACACAAGCTATTTCGAAGGCGACTTGCAATCTGCAAAGGATAGTGCCCTTATTTTTTACAAGCTATTTAGCCAAAAACGCAAGCTATTTAGCAAAAATATCAAAGTGGAGTTTGTAACAATTTGTGATTATACAATCCCATAATGTTTCATTCTTAAGTCTCAGAGGGTCCACAAGGCTGTCCACACTTCCACCCTGGCCCGCTCACACCAACCTTTCTCTTCCCTTTCTTCATCTTGCAGATTCTGGCTCTGACCATGACAGTTGGATTTGCACCAAATATCTTTCTATAGACCTTTGGCTGACCAATCTTGGTGAAACAGTCCGGGAAACAAAAGCCAGTCTTCCCACAAAATCCTCGTCAAGACTACATGATTCAGCTAACACATTGAAAGCGAAAGCCGCCCTTGCAGACTGTATGTCAAGCCACACAGCGCATTCATGCAGTAAGTGGAGTTTTGGTCTCAGTGCAAAATATGGCTGGCCTTCCATTGCACTGAGATGGGCAAGGTACATGAACATTTTCACAAATCTCATGCCCTGGGCTGCCAATCTCTTAGCCTCACTAGATGGTATCCACAAGTCTTGGTGATAGAGACCAGACATGAACGTGTTCAGGGCGGTAACTGCAGCAAACACGTACCGAAGCCTCACATCAGTATGTTCCATCAGAACTTCTTTGTGCTGTTCACAAAAGTATTGCAAGAACTCTAGGATCGTGACAGTAAGCGCGGCTTTGTTCCAGGCTCCATGCGGTTCATCTCTCAAACCTGCTCCTCCAACAAAACGCTTGTCGATTTTGCTGATGTATCTAGTTTTCTTGAACTCCCGGCACCATCGAAGATACATATCTGAAAGAAGAGCAAAACGGTCATCGACATTGGTAGCTGGTAAAACCCGAACAAGCAATACCATGGCTGCAGATGCAAAATCCTTGCCAACACCCATTTGGACAACATGCCAGATATCGGGGCGGTAAAATCTAGGCTTACCGTTCACTGACTCATCCTGCATCAGGATCTGTGTCCACAGTGACTCAGAACTCCAGGGCAGTGCGTGCTCTTCCAGGAAGGATTGTCTGATAAGCCTTTCCCCCCAATTCCTTAGGGCACATTGACACGGAACTGGCGCACCACCCATACTCCAAACGCAAATAAGCCTGAGACCCACAAATCATGTGTGCTTTCTGAAACTGGGAGAGTACCCGCATATAATATTATAAGCGCATACCATATGGGTTGGCATTTAAACATGTTTATGGGTGGAAAATATGACAGTGTCCAGCTATATACAGAACATATATGACGGTTTCTTAAAATATAGGGGATCCTAAAACCATCGGTTTCAATATGCTAAAATTGTTTTATTTGGGATCGATGATTTTGGGGGTACTACCATTTTGGGAGACCTGTGCATATAATATCAATATTTGCAGATGGGGGTCGCATCTTCCCAATCACAATCTTTAAGGCCAGCTTTGCACAAATGGCAGATTCCACCAGGCCCAGCATCCTTCTTGCTCTCCTTCTTCTTTTCACCTGTCCCTTTTGGGGCTCGGCGATAAGAACGCTCCAGCATCCCAGCATCCACCTGGAAGGCATGTCTGATATATGGTTATATAGTTTGCATACAACAAAAGAAGGTTGAACAACCCAGATAGCCTTATATCGAACAAGACAAACATATATTGTGTGAAAAAAATGTGAAAATACATTTTACATGACCAGGAGCGTAAACTAACCATTCAACTCCCCGAAAAGGTACGTTTTGGAAAGACTCATTGACATTTTAACACCCAGACCTTAGCAGGATTTGAATAGTTCATGGGCCCCAGCTTGGAAACAAACAATTCCCTCCAAGGACCTGATAGGACCAATCAGCCTTCATTCCAATCAGAACTGGGTAAACATGATGGCCGTCCACATGTACACCATTCTCTTGGAGCTCTTTCCAGTCATGAGCCAACAGCTTTTGGATGTCCTGAAAAACTTGCGGGTCGTCTTCGTAGATCTCCTCGAGGGAAAGTGAAAATCTTATTGGGCATGGATAAATAAGCCAAACCCCGAAAGGCAAAAGCACAACCTTCATTCTTTATACTTTTACAAGCCGCACATGCTTGCCATGCAGTGAAAAACCCCAGTCCTTTGGGCAGATAACATTTAAGAACCTGCTTTGCAACGTGGTTTTCAAAAAATTGAGCGGGATCCCGCACTCCGTAGTTTCTTCAACCTGCAGGGGTGTGAAGCTGTGATCTCTAAAGCACCAAATTCAATATATTGCTTTTGGATATATAGATATTATTGCTTTTGGATCTTTTTGGCAAGACACGCTATACCCCAAAATATGAATTGAGCCAAAAAACATATTTGGGCCAACAATAAGCTACAACCCTTACATGTCTTGATAAAATTTGGAAAGACTAGAAGGTCAGTGCATATAGACATTTCAACACCCAGACCTTGCCATGGTTTGATTTTTTAAACGCCCGAACCTTGTATCTATATACTATAAGCCTTATACCACATGTAGGGGCTTCAAAGCGTGGATTCAAAAAGTTTGGCAACACGGATCCTGTTGATTGGGCGCATGTCTGCCTCCATATCCAAAAGGGGATTGGAAGCTCACCACTAAAACTCCCTTTTTCTTGTATCCAGTCCCTTCGTCACCATGGCAAAAAAGTGGCACGCAGTTTTGTAATTGACCAGCAAGCTTTGACTTGAAGATGCCATGGTGGGGTACAATTTTTTGGTATCGATCCCAGAACAGTTTCAGTGTTGATTTTGCCTGCCCTATGCTCTTTCCCCCCAGTAGCCGGAAGAAATCACCAGTGCGAGCCATTGCTTTCAAAAAGTCACTGGGCTTTATCCAAGGGAAGTCCACAAAATCCCCCACTGTAGACAGCTCTACGGGGACATCATATCGCATGCGGAACTTGTCAAGCACAGACGAAACACTCTGTTCCTCAGCTTGTCTTGGGGGACTAGATTTTCAGTGAAGTTGGGGGCATTCCCAAACCCAAAAACAAATGTGGCATTTTCACAAATTCAGTTTACACACTCCCATCCAAGAAAAGATCGAAACAATCTTATGTTCTCAAACCTTTTACCAAATAGTGAGAGTGAGCCACGGAATCATCGTGGCGTTGGCCTGCCAGCGCCGCTATCACTGGACACATAGCAAAAGATGAGGACTTTCGCTGGGCATCACGTGCATCCAGAAAGTCAGCCACTGCGCTGTTGATGATTTGAGTGCATGGTTCCTTACAATGCGGGGCAGACCAACACAGGCATCAATTCCCTGAATAAATACACTCCTCTTGACAATCCAAGATAGATGGATCCAATTCAGGGCTAATGTTAATGCAGTGAGCCCAAACATGAATCATGTAACATATTTAAAGTAATATACGGGGGGGGGCATTGTAAACAACCCAAAAGGAGGTAGACCCAATAACAATCCCCAATGTTGGATGGTTTACTAGAGGGTTTACCACACGATATATTAATATATAAAGAATTATAAGCATATATCCACAATCTTGGCATGTGTGCCATGGGTCGCCACGGCTGTACTGCCAAGCCAATCTGCGAGCTTTTCTCGAAGGCCCTGGCTGTTGGATAAAACATGGGTCCAGGTTAGGTTGAATTCAGGCGTGCCTCATATTGTCAACTATACAACAATATTGATCTTGTATGGTTGCATGGTTGCAAGGCTTGAGATCTTGAATATATATACATTGGTCATTCTTGAGCATTCCGAAAAAAAGTGAGAAGGCCCCGAAGGGAAATTGACATGCCAAGATGATCAAGTTGGAGCGCTGACACGGTCACATTTTGTCCACCTGATCTTTACGGTCTTAAGCGACTCATGTGATCAAACTGCATGTAATCACACAGCTGAAGGAAACATCCCAAGTTTCGGTCTGGCTAAGCTTTTCAAAATAGACACATCAATGATCCAGGAATCTGCACCGATTGATTCCCACTGACGTGTTTTCTGAAGCCATGTCAGCCAGTCAAAAATTAGAGGCTGCGAAGCTCTAGCCCCTGCAGAAGCTTATATATCAAACAACAGTAAAAGCTGCATGCTATATAAATTATATAAATGACCATGTGCAATCACGTGCATATATATATATATATATATAGTTTGAAAAGTACAAGCCAGGGTATAGCCAGGGTTGATATGGACCCACTCTGCATGGCATACTTCTATAGCAAGGGGGACCCCACAGCTGTCACCGGCAACCCCTCACTTTTTGGAGGTCTTGCCGCGACGTTTCTTCTTGGCTGGCACGGCGGCGCTGGCCCCCGCTGGATCCTCAGTATTTTCGGCATCAGTGCCGGCACGACCCTTCCGTTTCTTGGAATGGGTCCCTGCGTGGCGGGCTTTTTTGGGCTCAGGCTCTTTAAGCTCTTCCTCTTCAGCCTTTTTCAAGGCTTTCGTGATCTCCTTTTTCACACGTTTGTAGCTAGCATCCACCGTGATCCAGTCAGCACATGGGCCCTTCACTGACTCCTTCACCGCTTCAATCTTGGTGCGAAACCTGGGCGAAACAGGTCACATCTTTATATGTATATATACTTCTTTTTTTTTCTCTCTCTCTCTCTCTCTATCTCTCTCTCACTCTCACATCTCTTGGATTTTTTGCTGGAACCTTTTTGATGTTTCATCCAAACTCAAGGCAATAGCTCTCAGTTTTTTTCCTATGCGATCCTGGCTAATTAATCCCAAATATAGGCCAGGCAGCTTTTTGAGTCCAACAAATCATTCAAATGACATTGAAATGCTTCTGGGCCGGTGGTTTCGGTTTCTCTTCAAAATCAAAATTCACCGCTTCAGCGGGAGTTGCTTTCTTGACTTCAGGGGGGTATTTGAAAGATCTGAACACAAAGTATACGAAGAAGGGCCCCTCACCGCCCTTCACTGATTCACCGCCAGGTTTGTAGTTCTTGTTCCCGGTCTGTCCTTGGAGAATAAATGGGAAAACTTTCGTGGGTCACATATGGCAAAACCCTCAAAGGTTTTTGGGTGTATAGGGCTTGAACCCACCGCATCCCAATTTGAAAGAAACATTGGTCCCAAACGAATTGTGATTTGCTTCAAACAAGTTTCCTTTATAGTGAAGGATCATGGCAGCCTCTATGTATGCTCCAACTGTTGCGTTTGAACCGGCCCATACCACCATCATACCTGTCCACTTGTCAACCTCTCTGATGTAACCAAAAGTTCGGTTGTTCCATCTAAATGCAGGGTCATGGGTGAATCTGATCTTGAAGGTTGCTGGCTTCAATCGAATCACAACTCGGTCAATGACCGCTTTGATGTGCTCCAACACATCCCCTGATGACATGGAAACCCTTGGAGGTAGGGCATAGTCAATGTGAGGATCCGCTACGATATCACTGAAAGCCTCCAAAGTACGAGGGAGCCACAGGGTTTGGGGGTCCAGGCATTCCGCCCATGGTTTCCAAGCCCTGCCCCGGAAAAACTTCTCAAACTTTGGCTCATCATCCTGCTTCGAGCCCCAGGTCGAACAAGGTGGAGCAAAGATTGTAGGCTGGAAGAAGGGCTGGAAGGGAGCAGGACCCAGAAATGGCTGGCTATGTGGGCCAGTCAAAACGCTCGGTGCCTGCATTGGGTTTGGGTATAATTGGGTATACATGATTCAATATATTTAAAGGTTCAAAATATAAACCATATATATATATATATATATATATTGTACAAACAAAATCTTCCGGGAAATGTTTTTTTCTGGTTGCTATCGGGGTACGCTGCGATTGAAGGCCATCAGTTCACGAAGCCATTGTTCTTCAGGAGATCCAGCCATCAACCCCGAAAGATCGACGAAATGAGCAGTAGACTTGTCTACATTTATGTTCAAAATCCCTGAGCAAGAAATGTTGCTATATAGATTCCCCTTTCATGATGACATGCAACCTGAATAATTAACAAAGGAACATTGTACAGATCTATATAGCAGTAGAGAAACTCTGCAAATTTGGGGTCCTTCGGGCATTTCTCAAGGTCACTGATCTTGATCTCAGTGAGATACCCAGCCAGCGACTTAAAGGCAACCTCCAGCTTCCCAACAATCCTCTTGAGGTCACCCACCATCCTGAGACGTGACCATATATATATATATATATAGTGTGTGTGTATCACTGAAGGGTTTGAGACATTACAGATATACCTCCATCAGTATAATTCTCAATTCTCAATTCTCGATATAGAGTTGGGTCTATCATGATTTTGAATTCGAATCACCAGTACAACCAATGCCCACTGAAGCTATACATCAACAAATTTACATGTACAGTTGACAATAAAACATGTACAAAGGGGTATAGCAAAGATGGACTTCAAAACCAGGCTAGAGTTTCAAGGAATAGCGCTCCATGGGCGGCGGATTAGCAGGGTTCTCCAAGACTTTGATGTTCTCATAGATGGTGGCCATCTTCTGGTTCATGGATTCCATGAATCTTTCCAGGTCTGGTACAACCTGTCAGCAATCAGATTTGTCTTGATATACTTTCAACGTATATAGCATCAATGCAAAATAACACATCGGTGAATTCAATATCAATCCTGTAAGCCAAATGGTGTGAGAACTATATATAGATGGAAGTCTGGATTCAAGGGCTGGGTTCCAAGCTCACACCTTTTTTTTTTACCACACTCATTTCGACCTATAGCTCGATCTGGTTTAGCTCCATCAGTGTATATATATATATATTGATGTCATAATATGCATAACCAAACCAATAACCTCTCCACCCAAATATGTCCAAGCAGCATTTTCCCCCAAGACCTCTGGCTCCGGCGTCGGCTCCGGCGAGGCATCATCGAAAGTCTCTGGGCCCTTTGGAGCAGTGGCGGATGTGATATCCTGAGTCGGTTGGCTGCAGCGGTCATCCGGAGTTTCAGGGGAAAAGTATAATGTGATTGAGTAACATATATGTAATTCTCTGGGTCACAATCTATCTTCCTTATCGGGAAAGAGAGCCCCTTGCTTTCAATTCTATAATGTGCAGGTTTTCAATGGTTTTTACGGGTGATGGATTGCCACTTGTTGAAATGACAGCTTGAGATATATATATATATACATCAAAATGGTGTCACATCTCTGGGTATGCAAAATACCAACTAAGTCCCGGTCATCCATGTCCGTGGTTTCCACCCTTCGGGTCACATCCGATTTCTTGAGCTTGACCACCGTCTCATCTTCGACAAAAAATTCTTCGACATCACTGTTGTATTTCCAGGGACTGCACAGGGGATGATGTAAAGCAAGAGGGGTTCGTGTCATTCAAAGTATATAAACAATTGTATAAAAGCACTTGTTTTGATCCAATACTCCTTAAGATAAACATTTCGCAGTTCACATCCGGAGAAGGTGGGAGTTGTTGAACTTACAACATGTAAAAACTTTCACAACATATGTAAATGTTATATATATATATAGAAACCACCTATAAAGAAATGCAATACATTTTTGGCAACACCCTGCCGCATGAGGGAGTTTGGAAATTTCCTGCAGTAGGCAACTATGTTTCGTACTGCTTGCCTCAATTGGATCAAAGTCTCAGCCCCATCAGACCCCCAAAAACATTGTGGCTTTTCGATCTGAATCGGTGTCAAAAGATATAGCAAAATGTTATGTCAAAAAATGAAGGCATATACTCCAATTAATGGGAAGGTTGCGGTGCGTACTGCGACTTCAGCTTCTCCTCCGTGCACCACTTCCCTGTCACCTCTTGCTCTTTCGAAGACATGCGCTCTCGGACCACCACAACTCTGGTGACGAACTCTGCCTGCAGAGGGCCACGAGATGCCACAAGTGAGCAGTTTTTGCGTGTAAAAAAAATTACCCAAACTGGCACGAACATATGTGTTTTTGAAAACTCTTGTCCTTCACCTTTTTGTACTGGTCACGGCCGGTCCCCCATTTTTTCAAAGACTCACACAAAGCTAGCTCTAGCCACTCTCTGCGTTCACCCCCACTCTTGTAGTCATCGAAGGTTTGCTGGTCCACCCACATTTTACCACTGGCTTTCTTCTCACAAAGCCGTCGAAGTCTCATCCTCAAAGCGTCTGCTCCCAAGACCTTATAATTTGGCTTGGCAATGAGGGTCTCTGGATTTGTATTTTCAAATGAACAGGTGTGCTGAGGATAAGCTGCAATCCCAGTATGCACCGCAAACCTCATCTAAACCCTGGATATAGTATTATAGTCAACCAACCAGATAGAAAACATGTATTCGTGTCTTATGGTGGTGTAAGCTTGCCCTTTTTGCATTTACTGTGAACACTTCTAAAGCCATCACCCAGAAGAGCTGATGCCAAAAGGATCTCCATATAAATTAATGATATGTGTTTCATTAAGTCGAGCCACCGGCTGTCCATCTGGATGAATAATTGGGGGATCGTCTTTCTTCTCATTGGTTTCATCGGGTTCGTCCCCTTTCTCTTCATTAAGTGATGGGCCTTCAGGTCCAGGTGTGCTAGTCTTGGGAGCACCAGACTTGGCAGCAGGAACCGATGGGTGACGTCCCCATGCCTCAGCCTTCTCGTTCTCCAAAAGCTGAATCTTCATCAGGGCCATCGTCAGCAACTCTGTATCATCTGCAGCTGCCTGCACAAGAGCACGGCTAGAAAGAAACATATAGATTAATGGATGTATGTGAGGTTATATACTCCCCGCAAATGATGGCCTGATGTTTTCCATTCGTTCCCTTAAGCCATTAACTGGGTTGGTTTGACAAGTTGAAGATCTATACAACTTTGCCCAACCACATGTTGCCAAGGAGAAGCCACAAGCTCTTCCCATGCTGTGAATGCAGGCCTGGCTCCGGCTGGGCGAAGTAGCTCGGGAAGGCACTGCAGTTGGAGTGGGCGTAGCCGATGTAGGAGCCCGTGTTGACGTCCTTGATTCTCGCAGCATGTCAGCAATCTCTTGGCTGTCCTCAGATCCCATGTCATGGTTTGGAATTCGCAATTCCCTGCAAACACATGTGCAGGATTGAATAACTATATATATAATTATATATATAATATAGCGCATGAATAATCATTATATATAGTTGATTATGTGCGCTTCATGCTTGATCGATATATGTATGTGTGTGTGTGTAATGTAGCACCGTTATAGTTATTATGTACAACTGGAACCAGGAGCCCATACAATACATATATATTTATATATATAAATATATATTCAAATATAAACTGATTACGATGGATCTTCCAGATGTATGTTTGCATGGGTTACATGCTTTTGCACGGGTTAAATGCTTTCATATTTTCAGTATATAGGTTAGCTAACTGCCGATTAAAGGGTGGTTCCTATATATAAAGAGGTGTGTTATTTGAAAACTCTGCATCTGCTCCATGCCGAGCAGCAGCTTTCAGTGTATCAGCGTCAGCAATTCCAACATCCTGAGCATGGCATATAAGGATAACACTCCGGGGAAGGTGTATACATATAGAGATAAGATCTTGAGGATATATCTATATAGCCTGACGTCTAAGAATAGGAGTGCCCCAAGCTTTACCTGTCTATATTATTTGTAAGGGGCTTGGGGCATTACCATACCCAGGCATCCCAGTCACTGATGTCACCCAACCATGTCATGTCAAGAGTGCTGGCATGACACCAGATCGCCAGCAGAGGCATGAGATGCACCATCAGCAGAGGTCTTCCTCACCTAGGCTTGGAAGGCTGTTCTGGAATGAACACCACTTCAGAATATATATATATAGATTGGGTATATAAACATTATATAATTTGATTATATTGTTTTCACAGATTCTTTTGCAAAGCATTTTTGGCAACCCAGCAAATGTGTGAAAGGTGAGCCATGACCCTCAACTCTTCGGAACAGTCAAGTTTCAGTTTTGAAATGAACTTGATAGAAGACTCGACTAACTGTGGCTAACCTAAATTTGAGGCATGTTGCAGGGGAACTGTGCGGTTCCTTCTTGATAACCACATCCTTTCTCTTGCCATCTTGAAGAGCCTTCTGGGCATCCTGCAAGGTCACTGTGGGCCCCATGAGATCCGGCAAAGCCTTCACGATCCCTTATTGCATTGTCACTGGACAAACCCATTCTTTCCAACATGACATTTCAAACCGGTTCTCAGAGCATGGAAATAAATTGATTTGTGTTTGGATTTACCCTCAAATTGGTGGATCCCTATCCCCTCCTGCAGCAACTTCTTGATCTGATCACCACTCATGCGCTGAAGTTTCAGCCCTGCAAGAGCAGCAGAGGCATCGACTCCAGCCGCCAGCGAGCCACAACTCAAGGCGTTGCTTTTTAAGGTTTCCCGAGACATGGTGTGGGTTCCAGCTATACTTCAAACCTCTGGGGCCAGCAGCTATACGTAATGCAAATTGTGTGAAGCTCTCACATTGCGTCCATAAAGTGGATGCCAAATCAAAAGTCAGGGGGAGTCAACCAACCCCCACAAGTGATTCCCCGAATAATGGAAGGTTATGAAACCCTTGTCAATAAACTCATTTTTCTTGGTGGGGTCACCTATTTTGTGGATTGTTTGGGTCCCAATGGGTCGACCAACCAACCTTTTCCCGTGATGTGCAGGTCTGGGGCAATTTAATTGGATGGTCCATTCCTCTAATTGCTGTTGAACCCCCCCATTTCGGTCTTGTGAACGTAAATGTGTCAAAAAAAAACACATCTTCCAAGCACCAAGGTTTTACGCAATTTTTGCGTAAACCCGAACGGTTTCTGAACGCCATCTGAACGCCATTTGAACGCCTTTGAACGGGTACGGTTTTTTACACACATGAACGGGTATGGTTTTTTTCACACCTGTTTGGTGTTTTACACGTATATACGGGTTTTTACGTACCCAATTTTCACATATGTTCCCAAAAAATCACAAAAATAATGATTGGTGAAATTACCTGAAAAAAATGAATAAATGATTCAAATTGCCAAATATGATTTGTGCTCTTGGAATATTCACAAGGCCCGGGGGAAAACCGCCTTCCATTTGGATGGCAAATTTAGGGACCGATTGCCCCGCAAATACTTTACAACCTGGCACAGGTCAGCTTCCTCCCAATCCGTCCACGGCTCGAGACCCAGAAGCTCATCGGCTGGGAGTGGGCACAAGTCGTCTGGCTTGGGCTGGCCGAGCCCATGAGTCGTCAGTTGGGGCATAAGTTCAACCACTCGTTGTCCAAACCGTCGTGGGTATTCCCTTAGCAGCAGATAACAACATCACATCCAACAATTGTTGAGCCGGCACACAAAATATGTGCAACATACATGATATAACCTATATTGTTGGCCAACTCAAGCTTTTTAAGCTGCTTTGAGATTAAAATCTATTGCTGATCCCAACTTTGGCTGCTTGACAGTATATATATATATGGCATTGGTCAAATTTCCCGGTTGTTTTCCATGGTGATATCTGTTATATGTTCACGCAGAAGCTATATCATCCTGTACTGTTATAACATGGTATATCATTTATGAGGCACCCAGTTTGATCTTTCAGGGAAAGCATCTATCCACATTTCAGGGAAAAACGAACCCTAAGCACCATTCACACCCTTGTAAATGCCACGCAGGGCCGTTCGTATACCCTCCAAGGATACAGAAACATTCACCCCAAAGCAATTTCAAATTGGGGATCACGGTTGTTTTCCCCCCCTTATGTATATATAGAACCCATCCAATTTAACACCAGAATGGGGCCCAAAAAATTGCTCCCAAAATGGATAAAATGGAAACCATTAATGTCCCATTGATGCGATGGCCACACAACACCTTTGACTTTGGAAACGATGATGCACAATTGGAATGACACAACCCTCCATTTCAAACAACTGGGGACACTGCCTATATCCCCAAAGGTGTTTGAAATTGTTGAACAATGAATCTCCAATTAATGAATATCCCTTTTTTCAATCTGTCTGCAATTTCTTTCAACACCAACCTTGTAGCAAATCAAGGCTCTGAGTGGCTTTTAGGGCATCAGAGCCCTTGTAGGAAGGGCGCCCATCTTTGCTGACATACTTGACCACGGTTTTACGGGTAGTCTTTGCTTTCTGCTCTGACCTACTCAGCTTACCTTTGTTGAACTTTTCAGCGTATGGGTTATTGGTCAAGCACATGTGCCTTTTGGGCGACAGACTTCCGTAGTGCATCATCCACCAGCTTGAGCGGAAAACCTGAATTCTCAATCTGTGGAGGCCCCCAAGTGAAAATTGAAATGGTCAGTGTCAGTGTAAGGATTTTTGCCATAACTTTTCGAGAATCCCTCATAAGGATCAATGGCCCAGATAAAAGTTCTCCACATTGAAGCCTTCGTGCTTCAACAAGTTATATATTTAAATGCTAATTTGGGTTGAAGTAACACACATCATATATTTAGAATCACCGTGTAGATGATATAAGAAAATTAAGAAACCTCAAATTGTAATGTCCCGTTGGCTTCACTTGCCATTGCCCAAAACGCCAAAAACACTCAAAAACACACAAAAAGGAACCCCCCCACCTCCCCCCCCCCGCTTTTTCTTTGTGGAGTCCTTCTTCAGGGGTGGCAAGCCAACCGGAAAACTGCTAACCTCGACAGTTCTTCCCGTATATCTTTTAAATATCCCTCTTGTGGAACCACAAAGAAAGTTTCGAACTTTTTCCACTTGGTTGAAACAGTGTGTATAGATTCAGCACCGACCCGGGGGTTTCTGGTAAATATTGGGGGAACGGACTACTAAAACCCGCTGGACAAAAAGCTCCAACTATAAGATTCCTAATTTTCCTTTTGGGTTGGTCTCCCAAGAAAAGGCACCCATAGCTCACAAACCCTTTCGTAAATTGTGGGGGAAGTGCTGTATATTTTGGTGCCTTGTGGGGGCCCTTTTTGCGAAACCATCCCAAGTGGAAATTGACCAACTAAGACACCAGATCCGCCCAGCGGGTAAGTATATCTATAACGTATATACATATATATATATAAGGTCATGAGTAAAACAAAAGAGGGAAACGATACAGATTAGATAGTATAGACTCTTGTGCCTAAAACGAAGGGCCCATTCTATAAGGCAC